CCATGCGTGGCTTAGAGGGAAGATGATGTGAAAAGACACAGAGACAAGATGGCCATCTACCAGCCAAGGAGAGGAGCCTGGGTCAGATTCCTCCCTCACCGCCCTCAGAAAGGACCAACCGTGCTGATACCTCAGTTTCGGACTGGTAGCACTAGAACTGTGGATAATAAATAAATACATTACTGTCATTTAAGCCACTCAGTTTGTAGTACTTCGTTACAGCTGCCCCACCAAAATTACAGAGAAGGCACGCAAGACAAGAGAAATACACAAGGCTGGCTGTGGAGGTGAGCGAGCGCGATTAGTCCAACTGGCTTGGAGCAGAAGAAGAAAGAGGAGAAACAAGATGAAAAGAACGGCTCTCTCCTACCCCGCTCTCCAGTAATCGGAACCAGATATTTGAAAAATGTTAATGGAGGCACGTTTTGCTTATTTGCTACTCATGTTATACAATCCATGACAGAACAAGAGGTTTCCCAAATTAGGTCCACACCACTAGAGAAAAAAAATGCTCTTTCCAAATTACTCAGATGATAACAGGGAAACATTCGAAAGCTTATGTTGTCTCACTACACTCTGTCTGGCATCGGTAAGAGCCAGAGGTTATTTTGTGAGAGTAAAAAAACGAAAACGACAATAGCAAAATTTTTTCGAGACCATTGTGTTAAATACAGAATCACATTTGACTTTGTTGATGAAATCAGCTTAAGGAATTAATGAATTACCTGTAAGAGTCTCTGTTGCTGATGGTGTCATGACCTGAATCTTCCTGCTCGTCTCCTGCCACGTTAAAACAGACGCGTTTGCTGTTTCTCTCCCCCTTCTCATTGTCGCTGTCGAGTGGCACTAGGCTCTCTGATGCTTTACGCTCTAATTTAGGAGAGTATGTTATCGAAGACAGAAGGCTGCATTGAGATATTTAAAAAAAGAAAAAAAGAATAAATGCACGTTGTTTGCAAACTGGCTGCTACAGATAACTGTCTTACTTGTAGATATGATAGACTTACAAATATGTCTAGAGTGTGTCTATGTTTCATGTGAAATAAATATTCTACTGCATAAAAAGCCTGTCACACAAAGGTCAATTTTTCCTCCCAGAATAAGAGAAATAGCACATAATTTGGACCAGAAAGCTGTGTTCAAATCCTGCTTCTCCAAATTATTAGTTTTGTTATCGAAGCAAAGCTATGACATTTCTCTTTGGCATCTAAAAAATGAGAATAATAAAAATAACTAACTCCCAGGATGGCTGTGAGAATGAGAACGACGCATCCTTGGTACTCAGTGGGTGTCACCTCCCTCCCTTAGCCATTATTGCCACTGTCACCATCATACGAAAATACTGGGGAACCTTTAAAGTGCTACTCAAATATTAAAACAAACACTAAATGTGCTCAAATATCCTCAGTAGCTAAGCCTCAGATATTAAAAACCCATCTATCCATTGAGCACCCCCCCAACCCGGGGGTCTCCCAGGTTTTCTCTATTCGACGAGGAGAATATTGTACTGGCAACCCTTTCTCACTGCTCAGACCGACAGGAGTCCTGGCTGTCATGAGCATAAGACACTAAACAGAGTCACACACAAGGTGAAGACAGGAACCCAGCAGGGGCTCCTCCCACCTCTTCCGCAATCCAGTCAGGATGACACGTCACAAATCCGCCCACGTGAAGAGTTCTTCCAACTCGGCTCAAGGCGAAAACTCCACCTTCAGAGGCCGAATTGCTTTAAACCTCGACTCTGAACTTTGAGTAGCACTGATTCCACCATTTCTAGCCTTGAATGTTTGGCTGTAAAAGGTTTCTGTTAGAACTAACTCAAAATTACGCAAAAAAAAAAAAAAAAAAAAGGAATAGTCTTTCCTATCAAGCAACGTGCTCTAAAACTTGCAAAATAAATTAAACCACATGTGGAAAACGGGCCCATGCATGCCTCCTCCAGCCGGCCACTATCATCTCATCTACCAAATAGCGATGACAGCCTGTCCTCGTCAAGTACACGCACCAATCTCCCCACTCGTTTTTCCACAGCGGCATCATTTGCTTTGCTATTTCAAGGCCATGAAAACGCTTCACACCTCTTAAAACATATCCCATAACATCAAACCCAATGCTGTGCACTGAGTCAATATTCGTTAAGTAATTTCACTATCTAACTGATTAGACACATTTATTGTACTATGCATTGTTCTCGGTGCTATGCAAGTCGCAGCTTATAAAACAAAAAGCCCCTGCCCTCTTGCAGAGTAAATTCTCCTGGGAGGAAACAAACAACAAACGAGTAAACTGTATAGGGTATCAGGTAGTGACAAATGTTAAGAAGAAAAATAAAGAAGGGTAGGAAGCCAGAGCTGCAGCTTCAAACCGCGTAGTCAGGTAAGGTCTGTGGTGTAAGATGACGTGGGAATAACATTCTCTCTCTATATATATATAGTTTTTTAGACACCAATGAAAATCAGGAAACGGTGTTACATTGCTCAAGGCCCTGTGAGGCTAGGAATTACTTTAAACACAGTTTTTCTATTTGGAAGGAAACTTTTACGTCATGTAAGACAGACTTTGTGTGTATTCACTCCCTTCACCCCAAAGACTAAAACATTAGATTAACTCCAATTACCCAAGCCCCACACATGCATAGACAGGCGATCTCTGAATACCAAAGAGAAAAGGTACAGGAGTTCTCATTCTGCAAGGAGTCTTCTGAGCTCTATGTATCTTTTAAATTAGAAGTCAGTGGACGTGACATGCGTCCCTTCTAGGTGAAAGACTTTCTGCCAGTGTTCTCGTTCTCAGCCCCGTTCAGTGACAATTCGAGACATTCCAACTGACGAGGGCTCCATTAGCTTGGACTTGAGTGAGGTCAGTATGGAGCAGAGACCTTGTGACTCTGACGGGCATGGGGAAGCCTTGTTGAGAGGCTTGTTTTCATTAACCTAACAATGAAGGGGGTAAAAAGCAGGTACAGAAAGTAGAAGATGTCTAGGAAAACAGGACGTGAGTGGCTGGGACACAGAAGTATCTACTCTATCCCAGGGAACTAGGCACAGCCTCTCTACACACCTGCCGTTAGCCTGACACCTGCGTGCCTGGAAGGCCAGCCACGCAGAGCTCAGGGGCAGGGCTGAGCAGGAGGTCTGTCAAGTGCCAGAACGGAAAGAGGCCAGCGCAGCTGGAGCTCAAGGAGACGAGTTTAGGAAGGGGGAGCAGGAGAAGCTGCGCAAGGTCGAGCAGGCCACGATAATGTGCTCGGTAATATTTTAATTGCATTGTAATGCCATTAAGTGGGTTTAAGCAGGGGACCAGCATGATTTACCTTTACAAGCCTCTCTGGCACCTGCTGAATGTAGAATGTATCAGAGAGAGGCACAGCTGAAAACCCCTACAGCAGGCACTCGTGAGGGGACGATGGTGACCCAGTCTAAGGGTAGATACATTGTGAGGTATGAAACTGACAGAGCTCGATGCGGTACTGAAGGTGAAGGGGATGGAAAGAGAAGAATCAGAGATGGTACCTGGATTCTGGCTTCATGAACGGAAGAGACGGGGAATACTTTACTGAGAAAGGGAAGCCCCTCACGGTGGAGGGGTTGAACTAGAGTAGAGTACGATAAAATCTAGAATTCAGTTTTGGAAACAAATTTAGGTTTGAGGCATCGGTGATACATCCCAGTGGTTCATAAACCACATCACAGAGATGGAGCACGTAATGATCTCATTGTGTCTGGTGCATACACATCTATAATACATGTTAGTTTGTATTAAGCTGTGTTCTCTTTAATACATTTACCGGAAAAATGCTTGGGGAACCTCAAAGATAATTCCACCACCAGCCCTATTGTTCCTGTCTGTAACCCCCAGCCTGCTAAATGTCCCACCAGCAGTTTGTTCGCGCCTCAATCCTCAGGCATATGGCACCTGCCAAATGAAGTCTGTTCTCAAATGTCCTATCTCCAATAGCCCCCCCGGCTCTTTACACATTTTCTCCCTGTGAAAATACACAAACCCTGTACTTTAAAATCCCGTGGAAGGTTTTGGACTATTCACAAATTATTTTTACTTGTGTCTAGTACTTCAGTGCCATTAACTGGAAAATAAACCATCAAAAGGCAAAAGTATTTAGCATCCCCAGATGAAACAAGAATCACAAAGTACTGATTAAATTTATGATATCACCTTAATTCATGTTGCTGGACAGAAAATTCATCTCAACTTCCATCTTTGGATCTGAACGAAGTGGGAAGATTTAGTGGAATGCCTATGTGTTAAATACAATTTTATTTCTAGGAGAAGTGTCCCCGAGTGACAGGGTAACCAGACTTTATGGAAAAACAAGTTCAGCATCAGGATCTTTTACAGGAACGAATGACTTCTAGAAAGGCTAGCAATGGGATGTCGTGATGCAATTTCTCTCAAAACTTGGCAAAGCCCCTGAGATCTGCTTCTCCACTCCACAGAGACATCTATGCCTGACCAAGAATAATTACTACATGGTGGGAAAATTGTTTGGTAACTAGCTTTTCAAATAATTTGTCAAGCTCGACTGCACTGCAGCATCTCTAAAAGCAACAGGGAATCCAGGCTGTTGGACAATTGTACTGTCTTAAAGTAATTACACTGCACGTTGAATTATCTGGAACCTATTTATATTTAGAATTAAATTATATGGCACGCACAGAGATGACCAAGGAAGTCTCTCAAGTCATTTGCTCATTTCACTTTCCTCATAAATATGCACAGTTGGGTAAAGGCCTTTAGAAGAACAGAGTGGGAAAATCTTAAGTAAAAATAGGTAATCATGTTTAGTAGTTTCGGTTAATCATGTTTAGTAGTTTCGGTTAATAAAAATAGCTTAACTTATTTCTGCAACTGGTGTTTTAAATATAAACCATTTTAAACCAAGGAAAGGAAGCCCCTTGACTCTAACCGTTTTCTTGAAAAATACATCTACATTAGCTGACTTTAAAAAGGAAAAGTTAAAAAGTTAATATAGACAAAACCCGGAGAACTGCCAGGCAGTGCTCGGTAGTCAATGTATCAGAAGCCTCGTCTCCCAGGCCGTGTCCACTCAGGCACATCAATAGTCCTGCCATTGACAAAGGACATAACACATAAGAGTAAAAACTGTTGGCCTGAATGGAAGTATGGGATTGGTCTAGATGTTCACCTAAAACCCTCTGATATCTAGGATACATGATTTAATGCTACTATTTATTGCCTTAATAATAAATCTTCCTCTATTCTTTTTTTTTTTTTAATGCCTACAGCACCTGGTCTTTCTAGGTGGTCTCCCATCCAAGTACTGACCAGGACCGGCTCTGCTTAGCTTCCGAGATCAGATGGGATCGAGCGTGTTCAGGGTGGCATGACTGTAGACTATTCACTTCTTAAATACCTCAGGGGAGAACAAAAACTTGTTTCTCATATAGAGCATATCATATAATAAAATCTGATTTGTTAAATAGAGCAAAATATAATGCCCTAAAATATGAATTTCTCTGTCACAAGGCACATGGTCATTCGAAGACAATTCAAAAGTATCACACAATTGTTTAAAAATCGCCTTCTGTCTTCTTAGCAACCTCAAACTGTTTAATTCATCTGTAAATGGGGCAGTCACAATATAATATACCAAATATTATAAGGAATTTTTAAAAACTAGTGTATGAGACATAGGAAAACAGAATTTTAATTCTAAATTGACTCATTAAAACATCAGGAAAAATAGCATAGAAAATAGTAAATATTTAAAGATACTCTTATAGAAATCTGATGCATCCACTATGATGATTTTGATCTCTAAATTTCAAAGATGTATAAAATAAGACATCATATCATTTAAGACTTTATTAGTATAATGTCTAATTGCAACAAAGGCTTAGACTAAGTTCAAACTACTTTGTCAACACTGAATTATCCATGGAAGTATGAGATGATGTTTATGTATGCAAACTACACAACACACATCCGACAGCAATCTAAATCTGTAACTCAAACTGAGGTACAATTAAAAGAGGATTAGAGGTGTTTATACCATTTTCAGATTCTACCAACTTCGGATATATTCAACGATTTCGATCCTTGAGTGATGAGCAAGCATAATGTTATGCACTATGTTGATCACTTTTCGCATTAATTTTTATAATTTTTCACCACGAACTAGTAATTTGTTATTTTTTTACGCAGTTTTCACATGAGACACTGTGCTGCCCCAAATCCCACACTGTTTTGACCACGCACAGCTGCCTTGACTAGATGTGGAACAGAATCACACACAATGATGAGGAAAATCACCCGACAGAGTTCAGGCAACTCGCCAACCACCGAATTCTTACATAAGAATCAGCATTCATCTCTTTGGAAAAGTTACCATTAACTCTGCCTCACTTGGTAAAAACTTTCAAATTATTGCCACAACTATTTAGAGTATTGCTTAGTAGATCATTGATTCAACCGGAGGTGAAAAAAAGTATTGGTTGTTGGTCTCAGGGATACATAATTTTGGATTTACTCATTTAGGAAGTATGGTAATGATTTGTTATATTTTATATTTTTGCTAAATATCTATCGAGTGCCTATACACTAAATACTGTGCTTTGCTCTGTAAAAGCTACAAGAAAATCCCTATACACAGTAGCCTTTCGACCATATCTTTCAATTTAATATTGTCACACTACAACTTATTTAGTGTTTTCTATACAATAAAATTTTGTCATCCTCTCCCTGGTACTAAATGCTTCCTTAAAATAAACAGCTATTGATATTTGCCATGTTCTATCACTTTTAAGGTGATAGAATGAAGAGGATCTATATGGTCTGCAAAAATCTCCTATTTTCCAAAAACTAAAGAGAGAATGATGGATGTTCAAAAGTCTCGTTTTTCTATAGCTATTTTATTAGGCACGTTTAAAAATATAGTAACTAAAATACTTACTCGTCTATTTGACAAACACACATCTCCACCTCTTTCAGTGCAGTCTGCAGTTTGCACAGCAGTTTTTGATAGATATCTTGGGTTTCTAAGTCTTCTTCTTTTAACAAATACCGGAGACCGTGACCATCCTGCTGTCCCAGGGACAGGCCCGAAGGGGCCGCCATGGTCGTAATCGTGTGCTGAATGTACACCATAGGGCTCAGTTTCCCTGAGGAGGTAAAAAATCATGCCACGGTGATATTTACTACCTTTAACTTATAGTAACAATCCAGTACAATTCATTTTAGAGGTCCAGGCTTACGGAAAATAAACTGCCAAGCCAATGCTGAATTTAATTTAATTTAAGCTGATGGGGAATTGTGATTAAAAGCTAGGAATACAGTTCAATCCCACACCCTGCTGTGATGGTAGAGAACGACCTCATGCATCTCTTGCAGCTGCTTCCCTGAATGTATCTCATGGTTATAGGGCCATTTCAGACGAACAGGAGGATGAGCTGTGCCTATCACATGTGTAATAACTGCATTTTCCCTCTATAAACACTTATGCATAATTATCCAAATGATTATAGGGAGGAATCCCTACAAAAAAAAAAAAAACAACTCTCTTTATAAAAGTTCAGACTTGCTTACGCACCAGGAATCTGCGGGAACAGTTCTGATTGCTAAATTACTTTTCGCGATCTGATATAGTTTCAGAAGCTAACATACCAACGTACCTTGCTCAGATTTGTTTTCTTTATCATGAGAATTGTGCTTCCTACTATCCAACTGAACACCAAATGCACTCCCCAGAGAGGTCGATGTTTTGGGATAAGAGACTTCCATCACATTGATATGGCAGTTGGTAGGGCAGAAATCACTGCTGTGTAGTGGGGAGATTTTAGATTTGGCTTGTTTAAAGGTGGGCCAGGCTCGATTCTTTAGTACACGAGAAAACTGTAAATTAAAGAAGAAATAAAAAGCAGTTGAACACACAGTGATAACTCAAAACATTTCCCTTCTCCATCGTTCATAGCAAGATCCAAAGAAAAATAAATCATGTCAACTGGAATGAGTGAAGTAAATGATAAGTGGTTAGAAATTAAATTGATATTTTAAAATCCCCACATTCTTAATAAAGCAAAGCAACATAGACAGCAAATGCATATGATTCCTTTGAAACTTTGATTGTAAGTTAAAAGAAATGAATTCAAGTAACCAATGCCACTTACTAGGACTCAAATTCACAGACTCCTAGCAACTGAGAGTCTGACAGAGAAATCGGTGTCCCAGGACACCAATATAGGACCTCGATCTTTAAAGCGACACAAGGTGGCAGAATAGGGTACCTGTCAGGTCAGGGGTGGAAGAAGATGGATTATTCCAAACACTGTCAGCAACCCAATCCAAACCTGACGTCTGTGAGCTGGTTAGACAAGGCGTGGCAGAATGACAAGATGACAGAATCCCACCTTCTGCTCAGCTCTGCTGAGCACTGGGGTTGGAATCGGCCTGAGCACTGGTGTGCACTCTGCTTTTGTGCCATTGAGAATAAAGTGATGCTCAAAGGATTCACATGACTTCCAAGGACGGCCGCTCCACTTAAGCAATCTTGCAATCCGAATGCATCTAAGCCTTGCCACGGTCTGTATAGCTGCCCAGCGTCTGATCCGCACCTAGCCCATTTATCTCAAGCTCTCTTCCCCTCGAACGCTGTGCCCTTGCGGCCTTCCCGCAGTTCCTCTCACACGTCATCTACTCAGTCTGTGTGCACGACTCGGAGTGCCTCGGATGTCCTTCCCTTATCGCCAAACTTCCTCTTATGCATTTTCAGGTTCTATAAAACCATCAAGAGGCCTTCCCCAGGCCCTGGTCCAGGTTTGATTTCTCTGGTTAGGTGCTAAGTCACAGCACATTGTAATCCTCCTTATAATTATGAAAATTTTTCTTATCTGTAGCTCCCTTAGCAGATGGTGACCCCCATGAGAGTAATAATGCTATGTCTGTCTTATGGATCATAAACAGGCATCTCACAGAGTTAAACTGGATTCCAGTTTCCAAGACAAAGGACTGAGAGCCACCAGCACCCTGTGCTGTAGTTATGTCATCCTAATAACGGATGCGATGCTGGGAAATCACCGTCTTTATCATTTTTAGTAAAATAAGGGATATGGATTAAATCAGCTCTATGCTCTTTTATTGCTTGAAAACTATAAGCAGATCTTGTCTATTTATTCTACTAGTAGAGTTGTAATTTGGCCACTGAAAAAAATAAAAATTAAGACTATGACTGTGTACCATCTAACTTTTCTAGGTTAACTTCAAGAATAAAGATGTGACATCGAAAATCACATCTTAGAAATATAAGCTCACCATTAGAATACGAACTTACCTGTATATTAAACTGTGTTTTCAGATCACATGTCAGAAGCTATCTAGCTCAGAAAAGTGCTGGCATACGGTAGGATCTAAATGGAACTGAATTGAAATGCAGCACGCTATCAACAAAATTCCTAACAGAGCTGATAGTACTATAAACTCTCAGTCAAAGGTTCTTTTTCACTGCAGATGCGAGACAGAAGTCTCAGATGAGGCTCCCGCAGAAAGGTACACAAACTGATTTTGGTCGCACCATCGCCACAGCAGGCGGTTACTCTTCTCTTGCCTTCTTTCACTGTAGCCAATATCAATTCATTCAAAAATATGAAGAGAAGCGTCTATTCCAGGCCCGGTGCTGAATACTGGAAATGCCCCCATGGAGTTTGTGGTCTCGTAGGCAACACAGGTGCAAACAATGTTATTGTCATAGCAATTATTACAGTTATGTGTAACATATCTGTATAAATAGGTATAACTATATGTATATACAATTACATAATAATTATAATAGCCAGAAAACTGGAAATTTTGATAGGTGCTGAGAAGTGAAGAGAAAATGTAATGAAGCGTTGCTGTGGGGTTCGGGGGGCGGGAGAAGGGGGAGACTCCCTTTCCAGGGACACCGGTCCCCAGAGCTTCTCGCCTATGCGCACAGCCCTCTCTCCCTCCCGACACACTCAGGAGGGGTGTGGAACCAGAAGTCTAAAGGCAGCTGACCTCTTTTGAAAGAATAAGTGTCAGAGAGGAAACTTCTTTGCTAAGAGCCTCTCTTGGAGAAGGAAGAGCCTTATGAAAACACTGCTGTCTTCCATCCTGGGGTGTCCCTAGGAGAGGGGGTCAGGGCTGGAGAGACCCCACAGTCGTGGGTCCTGGAAATGTGATGAATACATTTGAAAGATCAAAAATGTGTTCCCAGCATGTGTGCCCTCCTATAAATGTTTATGAGATCTTTCTGTAATGCAAACCTATAATGAAGAAGGTACAGTTCTTGTATTGACTGAGGTATGTGCAAAGACAACGCCGTGACTGGGCCATGTAGTAGTAAATGGCCCTGTGAACACGAACCTGGCATCTTTTTAGCAACATCAAATGGAACACTGAGCTCATTAACCCACTTTGGAGAAGTTCACAAGGAAAGACAAAAGAGTTCTTTTTTATAAATAAAAATTGTCGTTTTGCATAAAACAATGTACAGGGTGTGGGGGGCGGTGAGTAGAAACAGATGGTGCTTTAGACCCATCCTGGATAGCACAGCCACAGCCAGGCTTATTAGCGCCTTTATTCATTCATCCGACAATGATACATCTGGGGCTCCCTGCACCAGCCATGCTGGGAAGCCCAGTCAATGAAGCAAAGATTCCTGCCTTCTGAGAGGTTACATTCTAAGGAGAGAGGCAAACGGCAAACATAATAAGTCAATTATCTCATGTTAGAAGATGACAGGTGCAATTCAAAACAAAACAGAGCAGGTCAGCGGGTTGGGAGCTTCAGAGGCAAAGTGAAGAATGACTTGTCGATTGCGTTTGGAGCGGTCAGGGCAGGACTCACAGAGAAGCTGACATTTAAAAGAAATCTCAAAGGAAGGGAGAGTCGGGGATGTGGATAGCTGGAAGAGAAGCCATTCTGGCAGAGGAGATGTCCAACACAAAAAGCCCAAGGGTGGTATGGTCGGTGAGCATCAAGGAGACCAATGTGGCTGGAGCAGAAAGTGAGGGGGAGGGGAGGGGAGACAGCACAGGAGAGAGAATGGGTGGAGGGAAAGAACAGATCATGGAGGACCTCCGAGACCATTGCAAGGACTTAGCCTTTACCGTGACTGAGATTCACAGCCATGCAGAACAGACTGTAGGTGGGCGAGGGCGGAAGCAGGAAGACCAGATACAGGAGAGGCGATGGCGGCTCACCCTATACAGACTGTCAGGAATGGAAGCATCGAGAAAAGGATGCATATTTTTAAGGAAGAGCCAAGGGAATGGTGTGACAGAAAGGGGAGAGAAGAATGCATTCAAGACTTCTAGACTAAGCACTGAGAGGAGGGGTCCAATTCTGAAAGAGAAAACAACGGACATGGCAGACTGTGCAGGTGTGAAATTAGGAGTTTGTTTTTGACATGTTAAGTCTGCAATATCTATTAGACTCAAGCGGTGGGGTCAAATGAGCCCTGAGACTCTGACGCATGAAGGGGTTGGGGCGAAAAGGAAGAACCAGCAGAGGACACTGTGAATGAGCCACCAAGAAAGGACAACACTGGGCACAGGTGTGTCACAAAAAACTGCTAAAGAGAGGTACAAGGTCAATTGCATCAGATGCCACTAAAACAAGAAATATGATGACAACAGCGAATGAGCTTTGGCAAAGTATAGGTCATCGGTGACCTTAAGAAGAGCCATTTTGGTTATGTGGAGGAGGAGATCAGAGCCCAACTTGAGTGGGTTAAAAAAGGTGACGGAGACAGAAGGTAAAGAAAGCAGGTACAGGTAGCTCTTTTCAGGACGGAGATCAAAGAAATGGCACAATAGATAGAGAGGTGTATGGGGGCGGTCCAGGGAAATATTTATTTTTTAATATAGATAATACTAAAGCATATTTGTATACTGATAGGAAAAAGTAATTCTTGGAAATGGAACTTCAGGTTTTTAATGCATTGGTAGTTCATTCATGTATTTTTGAACATGACAACACATTTAAATCCGATTATAGTCACTTGACTAAAAGTCTAAATGAAACATAGCTTTCCATAATTCGGTTATTACTTTTATCTCTTTTACAGAGAGCCTCCCTCTCGATTAAGTGTAAAACCCACTGGCATGGAGTTCTGAAAAGTTTAGATCAGAAAACAGGGACATGGGGAGAAATTCTACCCACAACTCTCCCAATCCATAAATCAGTTTGAAGATTATGTGACATTAATAGCTAAAGGTACTTGGAATAGTCAAAATAAGACTTTGCTTCCTCACTGTAATATTTTTGCAGAAACAGGAAGTCTCCCTTTAAAGCTCCGGAAATGTGTATATGGAGGAAGTAGCCCCAAATACCCCCAAAGAAGCCCAACTATGGAAGGAAGTATTCTAAAACAGAAGACTGAATTAAAAAGGGTTTCAAGGACAATTTCAGGGGAGAACATTCCTCCACACAGGGCAGTTTTACACCTGGCTCACCCACCCATCCCGCTCCAGAAATTAAAGGCCTGCTGAGGACTCATGCAGGTCTCCAGGAAGGCGTGGACTTCTCTCATATCTGTGTCGACAAACACATGTGGTCTGGACAACTGGCTGTGAAATCAGTTAAGATTACTGCAGCCTGGCTACAGAAAACGTAGAAATCCACGGATTTCTATTTTTAACATCTAAAACTTTTAGAGTCAAAATAAAGGCAAGCCAGCCCCTTTGAAATTTTAGTTTCTATGGATACATTTTATTTTACAAAAAGAGGAGTGTTTGAAGCCTTCATCTGTGACCAATAATATTTTAAAAGTAAATATGTGGAAATTAAAAATAAATATTCACAAAGGCTGTAGTTTCTGTTGATATGTATTTCATATGCAAACAGAGCTAACCTTACAAGACCTATTAATGCTATTATCTTAGGTGCCTGAATTTTGTTCAAATAGAAAAGATTCTTGACATATTCTCTTGGTTTCTCTATCTAATGAGAAAGATAGCCAGTTATTCTAAATATGCTTATGAACAAGAAGGGAAGATGAAAAGGAAACCCTTTAAAGCACTTACATCTTAGATGACTCCAAGTTTCTTTTTATTTCTAAATTAAAAATAAAAATAAGAGCATTTCATAGGACTGATACCTAGTCTGCCACTTGCCAGCTATGTGACCTTAAGCGAATTCTCAATCTCCCTGAGAAAGAAGCGGGCTAAGAGTATTCAGTACGCATGGCTGTTTCAAAGTTCAAATAATAACGTAGGTACGAGAGCTTTCCATAATTCAGTGTCATTATTTTTACCATCTAAAATCACTGCCCATTACGCTCCATCTCTGCTTTCTAAGCTTCCCAGGCTCCCAATTATTTCTGAGGAAATCAATGGAAGGCATTTTGTACTCACCAGAATGGTGTTTCTGAGAATCCCCAACATCTGGGGGGAAAACCCTATACCTTTTCCTTCTAATCACCCACGACACACATTCCTTAGATTATCGCAAACTGTATTTTTGTGAGAAACCAGGGAACGACACCATCTTCATCCGCCATAACCAATTCATCACAAAGCTGTATCTATTTTATCTCCTACACATAGCTTGAATCGATCCTTTTCTCTCCTTCCCGACAAGTTCGAGTCACCATCGACTTGCAATTTACAGACAAATCTGATTTTGTCAGTTTTGTCTTTTTCATTGCCCTCAACTCAAACTCCCCTCCAATTCTTCATGGATAAGATCAACCTCGTGCCCACATCTATGCCTTCACGTACAATATCTGTTTACTCGAGTGCCATCTCTCCTTTTCACTCTGATAAATCTTTCTAATTTTTGCAGCTTATAGCATCTAGCATTTGCTGACTACTTGATCCACAATAGTTCCCCCTTTCCTGAAATGTGATGGCCCTTGTAGTCAGATGCATACTGTTTAGCACATAAACTGTGCAGTACAGTGTCAATACAGGTAAACAAGAAACAACCTGCTTTAGAATAAAAGGGAGCAAGGTTCAAATTCCCCTGCTATTCCCAGCTGTGTGCCTTTGGGCAAGTTACTTGACCACTCAGAGCTTACATCACTTCATCAGTGAAATAAACAATGCGTCTCATATCACTTTGTTAGTAAGATTATACAGCACATGCATACTATAAAATATCTCGTGCAATGCCTGATACCTGTAGTAGAATACCACAAACTATTGTGTGCCACATAACTCCAAGGAGCACCATCTTATAGATCAGGGTGTGGCATGCCAGCATGTCCAACCATAGTCAGTATTATTAATCCTAACTTCATGTATTTTGACCTTTCTTCCAAAGTAAATTGTAAGTGTGGGAGGGCAGGCATCCTAAGTTAAGCAACTTAAGCTCATATTGACTGTATAAAAGGTATGCATTTAGTAAATATGTCCCTATTCTTCCTGCCTCATCCTGCAAAAAATTTGCTTGAGTTTTTGACCTACTCCATGGGCTTTCATTATAGAGTGCATTAAAGATATCTGCCACACAAAACAAATAGCTGCTTCTTTTGAGAGGATATGTTTATGGGCACTGCCCTGCCATTTCCTGGCGTTGCCTCTTTGAAATCCAATATGAGAGGTTTCTTTTAGAACTCAGTCCAAGAACAGCTTTGCTTCTCTTAACATGTGTATATCACAGGGGTGCTGATAAATATGTAATAGACTGTGTTTCCCTTTTTATTTTGGCCATTAGGAAACCGAAGTTCAAATATAATATTTCACTCGAGCAACCAAATAGAGTCTTAGGACCTGTTTATCTATGACCCTTCCTCTTTGGTGGTCTATACCATCTATTCTAATATAGATTTACCTATAAACTTACTTGTTAATTTTCCTTCAATATCCATTCTCTCCTTCTTCCTTTTAATAATAAAATACCCTGGGTCTTAGTTGGGTATGTGGATGCCCACTTTGAGATTGCATTTCCCAGCCTCTCTTTCATTAAATGACTAACAAGAGTGAGTGCACAACTTCTGGCTCACATCGGCAAAAAGAAACTCTTGACTCTCCGCTTCCTCTTTCCCCTTCTGAGGGTCTGTAACCTGGCGTTGCCTCTTTGAAATCCAATATGAGAGGTTTCTTTTAGAACTCAGTCCAAGAACAGCTTTGCTTCTCTTAACATGTGTATATCACAGGGGTGCTGATAAATATGTAATAGACTGTGTTTCCCTTTTTATTTTGGCCATTAGGAAACCGAAGTTCAAATATAATATTTCACTCGAGCAACCAAATAGAGTCTTAGGACCTGTTTATCTATGACCCTTCTTCTTTGGTGGTCTATACCATCAATTCTAATATAGATTTACCTATAAATTTACTTGTTAATTTTCCTTCAGTATCCATTCTCTCCTTCTTCCTTTTAATAATAAAATACCCTGGGTCTTAGTTGGGTATGTGGATGCCCACTTTGAGATTGCATTTCCCAGCCTCTCTTTCATTAAATGACTAACAAGAGTGAGTGCACAACTTCTGGCTCACATCGGCAAAAAGAAACTCTTGACTCTCCGCTTCCTCTTTCCCCTTCTGAGGGTCTGTAACTTAGACACGGTGGTGGCGAGCCAACTTTGACCTTGCAGAAGAGGGTAATATCCTAGTGGGGAAAGCAAAATTATAGAAGGATCCCTAGATGATCGTCAAGCCCCACTCCACTGGATTCCTACCAGGTTGGACTTCCACATGAGCGAAAAATAAAGCTTCCATCTCAATTAAGCCTGAGTTATCTTGGTCCTTCTTAGAGCACCTACATCAATACTGTACCTAATATGCACTGGTCCCAGTGTTTCACCTTTATTTACATAGTGTACCTTGGTCCAGGTGTATTTCTTTAAGCTACTTCCACTGCTTTTGTTGTATGAATAAAGAGAAGCACAAAGAAAATCAAAAAAAGAAAGAAAATGACACACACACTCAGTGACATGTTTGATAACCAGAATATGCCTGTACCCATCACACCTTATACAGATCCATCTCTGAAGTAGAATGTTCTCTTTTCAAAATGTGTTCAGAAGGGAATACTATTTTGCATTTGTTTAGAGCTTTTAAATTTTACTTCAAAGTATGGTCACATCTTATAGAGACAGGAGAGATTAAAAGGAAACCTTCTGTCTTTCAACTTCAGCAAAGCATGTTCATGGAATCTATTCCAAACTCAAATAGGTGAACTGAGTCCAGCAATCATGGAAAGAGGATTAGCAGATGTGACAGTTAAGCAGCAATCTTGAAAATAATTTTCCTCATGTGAATGAATTTAAGAAATTACAATAGCAATACGTACACAACTTAACAAGCCAAACGTTATAGAAAGGGCTTAAAGGAAAATAGAATGATCTCTCTTCTCTATGTCCTGCTCTATGTGAGGTACCCAATGTTGAGGTCCCTTGGGTATCCATTCACGCATTTCCCTATTCTCACACAGACAAATATGGGCTATATGGGCTTATCTTTTATGTACTATATCAGGAATATAAAATATATACAATTAACTCATATTGGTAAACATTGAGATAAATAATATTTCCTAGTATGGTGGTACCAAATTTTAGCAACCAGCCTCATTTTAAGGAAAATAATTTAATTAGCTAGTCTCCTATTGATATAAACAGAAAAAATTAAAACCTACTATAAGATATTTTAGAGATCAATTTCTAATAATTTTACCACTAAAATATATTCTCAAATCTGTCTAATTTTCTATCTCCTTGGAATCTTCACCAGAGTCCAAGCTACCGTCACTCACGGGACTACTGCAATGGCTTCCTACTCGTCTCTCTGCCCTTGCAAGCCATTTCTTCAGAGGGGCCAGCATGATCTTTCAAAAATCTAAATTGTATGAAGTCACCCCCTGTTTAAAAGCTTCCAATTGCTTCTCATCGATGTACGAAGAAAATCCAAACTCCTTCAAAAGTTCCAAAAGGTACCAAGCTTCTACAGCTCTTCCTGCTGGTCCCTGCCCAAGCCTCTGACCTCACGCCTGGCCACTCTCCCCGTCCACTCTGGCCTTCTTTCTGCTCTGGGGCCTCTTCACCATTGGTTACTTCAACCCGGGTGCTTTCCTCTCCGATGTAAATGAAGAGTCCCACTTGTCATTCAGACACAGCTTTCTCTAAGAGGCTTCCTCTAGCCCCCAGTCTGGCATTCATTCCATCATGGTACTTCCCACCACTCTCCCTGTTTTGATTTCCTCAAATGTTTTCAATATTTGATTCCCACCCCCACCCCACCCCTGACCCCACCCCCCGCTTCAAGACATTTATTTGCTTCTTTGCTGCTTCTCTACTCAAATGTAAGCACCATGAAAGATCCTCTCTCTCTCTCGCTACCGAATTCCGGGTACCACGAACAGTGCTTGGCATATAAAAGGTGCTCAAGAAATATGTCAGACAAATGAAACAATCGATTTAAAACAGCCTGTGTTCTGTGCACGTTATGATTGATAGCTCTGTTCCCAGGTGCTGAAAGAAGAGAGGAAGAAGAACTATGGCATAACTTAAAAGTTTGACTTCAGAATCAGGTGGCCAGGATGCAAATTCCAACTCTGTCTATTGCAAATAAGTCATTTAATTCTTTAAGCCTCAGTTATTATATTTGGAAAACGTGGAATAATGACTAGCTTACAAGTTTGCAAAGATCAAATAAGATAACAGATTCAAAGGTATTTTAAAACTCCAAAATGTTTCATGTAACTCATATATGAATGTGATCTTTATTTTAAAAAATTAGTGCACACATAAGTTAAAAAAAATCAGGAACTGAATTGAATTTGACATTTAAATAATGATTCCATGTAAAATATATACTTAGAACTTTTACCTTTTTATAACTGGATATTCGCTGACATATGTGCTCGATTTTTTCACTGCAAACGGCACTGAATTTACTCTGAAGGTCAGTAGGAATCACTTCATTTAAAGAGTTAAGGCTGGTGCAGTTTTGTACAAAATGATCATCACTTTTAGCCAGGGCTTCGAGAATCTGTAGTGAAACACACACACACACACACAAAGACACATGCAAAACAGAACAAGAAAATAAAACCTTTAAAGTTAGTCAAAATTTTCACGGTTCCACAGCACAAGGTGGCCCCCCCACACACACACACACACACACACACACGCACAAAGACACACGCAAAACAGAACAAGAAAATAAAACCTTCAAAGTTAGTCAAAATTTTCACGGTCCCACAGCACAAGGTGGCCCCCGACAATGCTCTGCTTTTAGCTGCCTGGGGTTTCTGTGTTCAGTAAAACTTCAGGGAAATGATGGACTTGTGTGTTTGTCATCTCACGTCTTACCTTCTGCTGGCTAGAAAAGGCCTGAGGGAGGTGAGTAGACTCCTAAGTTCCCTGCTGGATAAACCAGTACACTCTGATGTGGGAACACAGTGCCTATATTTCAGTTAGAGTTACTCAGAACATTTTTTTTCTCAATTTGATAGTAGAACAACAAAAACTAAGGAAAACCACAGAATACCCTCCTTTCTTGCTACCAAGAGCCCAGTGCAGAGAGTGCATTTAGCAAGTATTGAATAAACACAAGTTTTCTTGCTAAAGTAACAATCAATGTTCCTTGCAGTGTCTGAGCTGTATGTGATAAAAGCATCCTATGATGTATTCAATTAATAAATCCTTTGCCTATTTGAATCAATTATAAGGCATAGCATCCTATGATGTATTCAATTAATAAATCCTTTGGCTATTTGAATCAATTATAAGGCAGTGTGTGTGTGTGTGTGTGTGTGTGTGAGCACACATCCTACATCACTGAGAATTTCCAGTGAATTGAGAATTATTTATGTGTCGTATTTACATGCAGCATTTATGACTGTTCAAAGATCATAAGGATTACACCGTACCTGACATTTTTATACCATTGTGTGAGGAACGTATACATGCTGCGTTTATGAACTCCCTCACCACCGCCACCTCCCTGTCTTGCAAAATATGGAGTGTGAGTTATTTGTTTAACTACTGGTTTAAAAATTAGAGCTCCCTTTACCATTAGCAGCGGGATCTTGATTAAATTTCTTAATTTCTTTGACTTTCTTTTCTTCACGTATGAAATGGAAATCATTGGAATACTAATTTATGTACTTGTCTTATGTAAAATAACCTGTATGATTTTGCAAATTTAAAACAGCTAGAAAAATGAGATAAAATAATTCCAATAACTTGGTCATAAACTCCTATGTGGATCCACTTCAATAGTATAGCGTAGTTGAGAAAGAGTTGTATTTTTAACATACAGATTCTGTGTGTGTGTGTATATGTGTATATGTACATATATATAGTGGTACAATGGTTTTTTTTTTTAAAGTCGACTTCCAGAATACAAAAAAAAACATAAAATTATTTTGGTAATAGTATATTTATGTTTCTATATTATTTTCTCCCACTAAAATTTTTAAAAATACATGCTAAGTCGATCTCAACTATACATATTCGAAACAAGAATTGAGATGAAGAAATAAAGGTGGCAAAGCTATATGTCATTATTTCTTACTTGGAATACCTGAATCCTCGCAGGGTGATATAAAAGCAGATGAAACACTAAAGTTTTGACCTGTGGCGGGTCCCGTAGGAGTCTGATCCATTTCGCTTGTGGAAGGATCGTGAAAACCAAGCACAGGATCGCCTCTTCCTTCCTACATGGTTTATCCATTTGGATGAAGACTTGCTCCCTCCCTACCTTGCTTTAGACTAAAGACTAAGGATGAGATCCTTTACTACCAAGAATTACACAAATGTCTGAGGATCTATTCATAACCAATCTCTAAGCTTTATGAAATTTTATGAAATAAACTTGAGACCTGCAGCATCTGAAAGTTCTTATAATGTATTTCATGACTTCAAATACTCTTCAGAGGATTATGGTACATTAGGAAAAGCACCACCCGTCATGAAAACCATCTGAAATGTATACATGATATGGAATTAACAAATACAGCAGACTTACTAAATGCAGAGGAGCCTTTGCCAGATCAACTAACACTTGTGTGGGCTCGAGTCCCATCTGACTTAATACTTCCAAAGAGATCAGTAAAAAGGACAACTGTACATATATACTGAGTAACTCCGGGAAAAGAGAAAAAGAAAAGGAGTTTGAATGGAGTGACAGCTAAAACACACACTATTTACATTTGTTAAGGTGGGGTGAAGGAGGGTTTCAGTTTGTTTCCCAGAATCGCTTACCTTGGCAGTGAGGCTGAAGAAACCTTTGGGCTCGATCATCTTCTCCACCACATTGCACTTTATCCCGGCTGTGCTGTCATATTCATACACGACCCCGTATTCCAGGTGGACGTTATCCACCGTCAGACTCACGTGCTCCTTCTTCCCATCGATGATGGCCATGGTGTTGAACTTGTCAATGACCTCTAGAATAAAGACAATTTGAGTTCAGCAAATTCATGAGGGGTTTGTTAGTCTTCTCGAATAATTTGAGTCTCTTCGAATAATTTTTAAAGAATTTTTTAGAGGATGGCTAAATCCGATGTGCTAAATGAAGCATCTATCCTTGTTACCATTTTAAAAACTAAGAACATTTAAAAAAATATGTTCGAGTGATGCAAATCTCACCACTGTAACATGACTAGTCTTTGCACATTCATTTTGATTTCTGAAACATATGTATGCCTATTTATATCACTATAAACATTATACATACAATTTTATATTTTCTCATTAAAAGCATGCATGAAAGTAAAGTCAGAATTCTTAAGACTGCCTTAAACATTAAATGAATATTTTCTCAAAAGAGAATAAATACATAAAGCCATTTGAAGAAGCAGAAAAGAGATGCAATAATAATTTTTTTTAGCAGAGAGGGTGCCTGAATTTTCCCAAACAGTATCTTCCAGAGATAGCTCATTGAGAAAATGTGTCATCGTTCACTATAATAACATTTCCATCTGGAATGTCTTCTTATAGGTTTTGGCCTACAATTAGTCAGCTGGTAGAAAAACAAAAACAAACAGACAAACAAACAAGCAAAACAAAAAAAAAACCCTAAAATCTCAAGTAAGATACTGTTGAGAAACCAAACAGTAAATATTAAATAAAGAAAAATAGAATACTAGTAGATTTAAAACAAGTTCTAGAATAACAGAAACAACAAATATAAAATAGGCAAAAGCAGAATGATGGTTAACTTTAAAATAATTAAGTCCAAAGCAGCTAGAAATCAATTTCCAGAGCACCTCATCCAGCCGTTCTGCCTTTCACTGTGGCCCCCATGATGATTAGCAAAAACTAACTTTAACTGAGAAAAAAAGCCACAGGATAAAGTCTTGAGATTCTTCCTGGTTTAAATAAATAAGAGAGTTGATTTATCAGCACCACCTTATCGCTCCAGTGAGGCTGAATATTTCTTAATTCTGTCCATGAACCCAGTGTTCAGGGAAAACGGCTTCTCCTAACTACCCCCATTTGAGCAGTGTGTACAGGGAACTTTCCAGCTGTGCTGATTTGGAAGAACTTAAAACTACAATAAAGACGCGCAGAGTCCCTACCAAATATGTGAGCGGAAAGATACCAGGAAAACGGGAGAGAGGATGCAAGGACTTCTGTGGAAAAGTTTTGAAACAATAATTCGAGGCATTTGTCAAATGCGAGCATAAATGTAATTGCCTTGATCCCTTCACCCTTGGCAAAGAAGTACTGAATATAGCAATCTGCTGATTTGCTTCGCCGAGAAAATAGAATGACAGGAGTCCTTATCCAAAGATCTCTCTCTCTTCTTCTCACCTTCACATGATCAGTTTGCCTCTTTCGTTGTTGTCAATGTTACATACGATATGGTAAAATTACTGGATTCAAGAAGGTATTTCCAAAGAAACTATGGACCTAACCTAGGGCTTCTCAAATCCTAGTGTGCATACAGATCAGATCTTGTTAAAGTGGAGTAGATCCCTGGTGGGGTGAGATTCTGCATCTCTGTCTTGCTCCAGGGGATGCTGCTGCTGCTGGTCTGCAGACCACTTTGGAGTAGGAAGGTCTACACTACATCTAAACTCAAAACAAGGATACACACTGTATAACAGGTTTGAATCCTCATTCCCCCACTTACCAGCTTGGGCCACTCCCTTAACCTACATAGGCCTCAATTTCCTCTCTCATTAAATTTAGATGATGATAATCATACCTTTATGAGATTTTTTTTTTGATGACTTTATGGGATAATCCACATCGAACACTTAATAAAGTGATTAACAAAGTGCAGTAGCTCTTACATGTTAGCTGTTAGCAGTTATTACTGATGCATTTAACGTGAAGTCTATCAGTAATAACGACTTAAAAAAGTGGTTTGAACATACAGGACTTTTAATAATTGAGATCAGGCATTGGCACATTGAAAAAGAATACTATAAGCAAATGAGGAGAAAAAAAAGGAACTCACCTTCTACTTTGCAGTCAAAGGCATCCCCGGCTTCCTCCCCAGGGGATTTGGAGTTAGACTTTTGTCGAAGGTCTTCTTCAGCGCTCTCAATGCTATTATAAACCCACTGAATGGAATCTTGCTGGAAATAAGAAAGGGAAAAAGACCTCAGAGGGCTCAGGGCTTCCTAAAATGCATATCCACTTCATAAACCTGCTCTGGAAGGAGAGTTGGCAATCTTATTTATTCTTCTACTTTGTTTAAAAAAATCATAAAACTTGAAAGAGAAAGAAAATTAACATTAGAAACTAACAGGAAGTCAATGGCAACCAGATTGTTCAACAAATTGACTTTTTAAAGCTTGAAGCTTTATCTCCCAAAGATTTGTTTTTAAATAAGATGCATTTCCTAAATGTCTTGCTGAAATGCCTCATGTATATCTTAAAACAAATTATACATTACATTTTAAATAAGTAAATGTTAGATGAATGGTCTTCCAAAGAATTGGTCATCTATAAATGTACAAACAACTTAAAATCTCTCCTAACAGTTACATGTATTTTGATATGCTTAATGCTTTTTTGAATTAAACAAATAAAAAAATTAGAACATCTTCAATCTCTTGGATTCCCAAGTAATGTAACTATCTTTTAATCCCCCATTTCATAAATTATCCTATATTTTAACTGAAATAGCAGTCCCAGGCTTATTTAGATAAATGAGAGATGAAATGGCTACTAAATAAATGTATTCAGGCTTGTATTACTTTAAGTTTATACTTTTCCTACGTAAGACAATAAACTGAATTGCACTACTGGAGTGTGATATAAACTATTTTATTCATCTTCCTCCTATATTGTTAACTTCTCAACTGTGTTGCATTATTACATTGCCGTGCATCACTGAAATGCTAGTTAACATCTGGGCAAACACATCAAGGTGACCCATTGTGGCCTCCAGTGACCTGCAACCCCCAGTATCCACACCTTTGTGTAGCTCTTTCCCACACTGACTCTGGGCTTGATCATGTGATCTGATATTACCAAGCATGACGTAAACAGAGCTGATAGTTTGTAGTATTCCCTCTTGAAACCCAGATGCCATGCAGAAGAAGACTGGAAGGGAGGCCCCAGGCAGGAGCTCTGGAGAGAGAGGCCACCAGCAAGGGGGCGTAGTGTCCAGTCGGTCCCAGCAGAATGCAGACCTGTCAGAGCCCTCACAGGAACCCACACCTGATCAACCCACCGAATCAAGAGAAATAATCAGTCACGGTTGTTAGAAGCCACCACGCTGGGGAACCATCTGCTTTGTGGCAATGGATACCTGATGGAGCATGTGATTCATTTAGTGAATCTTTCTGTTCATTTACTGTTTTTCTTCATCATTTTACTGATCAACACCTCTCCAAGAAGACAGGCAGGAAAAATGAAAAGGAATAAAACTCAAATCAACTTGGCTACTTATTAAAATTCTGATAGAAAGGGAAAGATTTGATCATTTCGGAAGTGTCCTTTAAAAAAATTCATTCAATAATACAGTTCAATAAATATTTATTAACCTACTTACTATCAACAAGAATAACCTATGCATCTATGCGTGAATTCCAATTAGCTAAGCTAGTTTGACCTTATGAGTAAGTAAAATTGATGAGGTATTTTCTTGCAGGTTTGGTATTTTGCACGGTGTAAGTCCTGGCCTATGAGAAAACAGCCATTCATCTTTCGGATTTGGACACAAACTCATAGTCTCAAATTCAGAAAAGAGTATTTCACTGTGCATGCAGAAAAATACAAAATAATAATAATAATAATAATCTCCTTTAAAATTGTTTGCATTTCAAGTCCTTTTGCATTTAGTTGATTAAGTCGAGAGGCTTTTCTCTTATAGACCAATAGTCACTCTACATAAGATAATAAGCTTTGCTTATATATTAGAATTGTAACTTTATTTTTCTATGGCACTTGAAATCTGGATCAGAGGACAATGCTTAAAATTTTCAAAAACGACAAGTACATTTTGGTATTTTCTTTTCAGAACTAAATTCAATTACCTAAATAAATATATCCAAGAATCAATCGCAGACCCTGTAAAACCCACAAGTTATTATTTTTTAAAAAATTCCAATAACAAACATTGGAAGCATTTATAATTCACATATGCAGACACAGGATGACCCTTGATGACCCTTATACATTCCAAAGCAACCACAAAGGTCAAGAAAACAATTTAAACCTTTGCATTTCAGTTTGATAAACAGCTGTTTGAAAACCCATAACAGGGTGAAAATGAAAACACCCCAGAGACTTTTTAAACACATGATAATCCTGCAACAACAAAATATAATCATTTAAACATAATCGATGGTAAGTAATTATGCAGATAAAGCAGCCATGATGAGATTTACAATGCTGTGCTTAAATTCTCTGGCAGAATCCTATCTTGTCCCTAGGGTCTCTGTGCAAGTTTGCAATTAGACTCAGCTCAGCTGAAAGGCAGTTTACCTTCATTGGCCTCCTGTATTTCCGGCAGGCTGTGACATGCGCGATAACACTGGCGTGTGTCTCTTTGCTGACATTGATCCCATTCACCTTGATAATGCACTGCCCAGGGTGAAGCCCAGCTGCTGCCGCTACAGTGCCTTTAAATGCAAATGAGAACAGTGTCAAAAATCAATTTGAATAATAAGATTAGTTTCATCCCATATGTAATAGGGAAAGCAGTTTCAAAATGTAATAAAGACCTAGCTAGTATGTTTTAGATGAATTTGGGTATGATAGCAATGACTTCTCAAAATTTTCCTGCTTTTTAACTGGCCATTCAAACCGTGAGTAACAGGATATCTTCCCACCTCCCTAAGACTCATTTGAAGGGATATTGTAAAGGAACTTTTATAATGCCAATCAGTTATTTTCCTTCCAAATGGCTGCTCAATCCAATTTTTTAAATATGCATGTATAATGGCAAAATGAGAAAGCCAGAGACTTGTGGCTGATTTATTTTTCTTCAGTTTACAAAAATTTCTAAAAATTAAAATAGTATTCATTTTCATTTTATAAAAATGCCAACAATTAAAAGAAAGTCTTAAGGGAAAAAAAATAAGTCAATTAGTAACTATAAGAGGATTGGATTTGCTAAGAAAAATAAGAGCTCAGGATAGGTACAAAGGGTCAGAGAATTAGTGAAGAATAAAATTAATCAAATAGTATCAACTGTCCATCATTTATTTTGTATAGATATAAACTTAAATATGGAAGTGGCATATCCTACGCAGTGACTTAAGATTTTCAGAACCTTCCAACTATTATTATTTGATATTCTGAGCAAGTGAACATTTACAAAGCATCATTAATAAATACGATGAATATAATTAATATAAATGACTATAACACTTATGTTAGAAAAGCCTTTCTTTACAAGCAAATTCTCCCATGAAGGAATGATTAAACGTCTTGAAGAACATATCAAGAAGACAATATATACTTTCTTCTCGCTAAAATTCATTCCCAGAAATATTAAGTGGCTTTTCTGGATTGAACGGTCTTCATTCAGAGAGAAACATTTCCAACAGAAAGAACAGCCTGAAAAAAACCCACTGAGTCAAGAAACAATCTGGACATTTGGGAACATACAAGCAATTGTTTTGAGCTTAGAATGGGAGTGGATGACGAGATCCTGGAGAACAGAGCACAGCAGTCCAGTTGTGAAGTTCTTGGTTGCTGTGTGCAAAGTCCTAGGAGTCTGAATCTTACTATTAAATATGGAAGAGGAAAAACACTTAAGACTTTTAAGCAGAGAAGTAGCACAATCCCCCCAAATTGAGGATGGATCATTGTAGTTTAAGTCAAAAATCAAAATCACAGCACTTACTGCAATTTTTCAAGCTAGAACTAAGATAGCATTAGTTACAAAGGGGAGAATAAGATCAAGTATTTGATGTTTGGTGATGGAGTTTATGTCGAGGCCACAGTACTCAGGGTCACCCCTATGCCCGTGGACTCAGTGGCTGAGCAGATGGAGTCATTTTAAATAAAGAGGGAATACAGAAGGTAAAGCAGCTTCAGAAAACAGAGGAAAAGTTCAGTTGGATAATATTGAGTTTTAAGGTGCCGAAGAAGTATTTGTGTTTGATAAACAATTCATGTTTGTATATGTGTTTGATAAACAATTTGATCTAGGCTATAGAACTGGGGAAAGAGATGTGGGCTGGAGACAGAGATGTAGGAATTCCCAGCAAAGAGGGTCAGTGAAATTGCTTCTGAAGAGCAAGAAGGCAGAGAAGGGAAGAGGGTGCCAACAGTTAAGACATCAATAAGGAAAAGAGCTGGCAGAGGAGGAAAAGGAGAAAAATCTGAAAAGTGACTTCTCAGAAATCAAGAGATGGATGGTTTAAACAAACAGGAGTGGTCGGTTTAAACAAATGCCAGAGAAAGCTCAGTTAACACTCGGATTATCACTATCCGTGATATTCTAGTTAAGTCCATAATAACTGTTATAAGACAGACTTTGGAGACATGGGTGGGAGGTGGGAGGAGCTGTCTACAGCACTGGGCTAAAATTCAAACAGGAAGTGAGGAAAGGCAGGCCAAAACGCAGGCAGCATTTCAGCCAGTTTGGCCATAACGAACATAAGTTATGAGAGCATTATTCTGCAGCTGAGCTTCTCGTCCAGCTTTGCCATCTCTACACATCAGCTGGAGGTCTCATTAAAATACAGACTCTGACTCAGTAGGTCCTGAGAGACTGAGACTAGAAATGCTGAGACCGCATTTCTAACCAGCTCCCAGGTGTTGCCGATGCTGTAGGTCTGTGGACCACTCTTTGAGTAGCAAGGATCTAGGGGAGAAAACAAGGAAGAAGGAGGTTTTGTGTTTCTGTTCTAGTTTCAGATGCTTTTGGTTCTTTGTTGATTTTAACGGGAAAGAATCGAGCATGTTTACAACCTATACTCTCATAATCCAATAAAGAGAAAAGGCTGAAAATTCTGACGGGGGAAGTCTGACGGTGCAATAGTCCAGAGGAAGTATCTGAAGGCATGGGATCCAGAACATTTGTAAAGAGATTAACCTCGACCTCCAGAAAGGATAAAGGCCTCTTCCTCTAGGATGAGAGACGAGTTGGTGATGGTGACCCACCAGGAAGGTATGTGCAGAAAAGGGTATGGGACCCCGGGACCTTTGTACCTGGTAGCCTGAATGTGTCTGTGAGGTGAAGAAGGAAGTTCATCTTAGGAGATGGGAGGTAATTACTAGAAGAAAAAGAGGGAGCTGCACAGAGACACATAAAAGATTGCTGAGTAGAAATGTGGGCCCAGTAAGAGACCGCACAGTGAATTAGGAAGACGCTAATTCCATATTCGTGCTAGTTTTTTTTTTTCTAGTTACTCGGGAGAAAGAGTGAGGAAGGTGATTAGGCTGATCTGGCCTGGAAGAGCCTGAAATGAGGTGGCCTGGATGCACCTGAGGGATAAAGACGAGAGGATCTTGATGACGCTGGCAAGAGTGACCAAAGTAACCCACCACGGGGATAAGGCTGGCCAAGGGAGGAAGTGGCGTCTCGAGGGATATAACTGACCAGGAGAAAACAATCTGAGAATTTCAAAGTGATAAGAAACCAAAACAAGAGATTGTAGTTAGAACTTGGCATAGCGGCATTTTAGATTCCAAAGGTGAAATTCCAGTTATTGGTACACACCAGTGTGTGGCCAGGGAAGGGCTGAAGAACAAAAATGGAAAAGAAGTTTCTACTTTTTTTTTTTTATGGTAAAATTACAATGCAAAAAGAAACCACAGAATGATATCTTTTCATTTAACATCCGTCTGAAAGGAAAAGCACATGAATGTTTCAGACTTTTGCTTTTCAGAAGCAAAAAGCTCAGTGACCAGACTTGGGCCAACACTATCATCACTAAGTTCCAAAGACAGACCCTGCTCCTTAAAAGACATTTTCAATGATATTGTAGGAAAGACGTACAACTTGATTCACTCGGGTTTTCAGTTATTTCATGGTACTAATAATGTGACTTACACCTTTCTGGTTTCGTAAAAATAAAGATAGTTGATGTATCAATATCCCATTTCGATATGAAATATATCCCATTTCAGTTTTATATTATCAATGAATTGTTGGAAAAGTTTTAAATGTCTATTAATCTATATGTTTAAAAATCTACATGAAAAGACAAGTTTTTGAAAAAGAAGATTCATTTTTATCATACACACATGAATGAAAGAAAATTTATAATCTAATAAAAGTCTAACGAGTATGGTCTTGATAAGTTTGATTCTGGCAGCAATGCCTTCTCGAGATTTTCCAGGCTAATGTTTGGGTGGTCATATTAAGGTGCTCTACATTTTACATTTCTCAGTAATGAAAAGCATGGATATCTCTCGATAAGATAAACACGTGGTCTCTTAAATGCTGATAGTTACACTTCTTGCTATAGCAGCAAGTTATTTACTGTGTTTGGCAGTGTGAGATCTAACAGTTATTCCCTTAAAACAATACTGGCATTAGTATAAAATTTAAAAATACATATAATAACAAGAGATATCAATTGCTGATTTGCTCATAAAACAAAATGAGAAAAAAACATAAACATAAGTTTTTCATCACTAAAATTATTTAATTTAAAATATATTTTATTTTTATAAAACTACATGATTTATAGGACTGCATGAAGTAACCATACAGCAACAGGCTATAAAGCAACACAGATTATTCTTAAACCTTAAAACTCACATCTTGGAATTACTGAAAAAATATAATTATTTGCCACCAGAGAAAAATACAGAGAGATGACCTTGAAAATCATTATATCCTTTGGTTAAATTGAAGCACACAGAAAAGTAATTTGGGGAAGCATCATTCACTTATAAATTTTTAACAATGCTCGATATGCCTTATAATTTTTAAGAGTTTTAAAAAATTGTTGTCTTGAAAATGTACTACCAATGACCTAATATTTCACTTATAAATTTTTAACAATGCTCAATACGCCTTATAATTTTTAAGAGTTTTAAAAAATTTTGTCTTGAGAATGTACTACCAATGACCTAATACAGCAAAGATATGACTGTGAAAATTCATAATTCGATTATGCACATTTTAAACATATTCTTGTTCAACAAAGAATATCGAAGCGCGCTGGGAAGCCGTTTGCCACACAGGACGCGCTCCTCACCTCTGCCTACCGCGTGCACGACGGACGGGCCGTACCCTCGGATCTGGAACCCAAGTCCCTCGGCGGAGTCGGGGATTTTCACGGTCCTAAAATCAATCGGAAAATAATGGAAGAGGACGTTTTAAAAGCCGCAGTTGGTTAAAACAATAGGTTGCTCACACCTTTATTCATTCTTTCAGTAAATTCGTATGGAGGGTGTAGCATGCGAAAGACACCGAACTTGAAACCCTCGAAGGAGACATAGTGCTGGGCGCCCTCACAAACCATGTGGCAGGCACGCAAGGCACCCTTACTTGAACACTTCACTGCAAAGTATGACCTGAATAAGGAACTGGCTCTGGGCCCAGACAGACCTGGCTTTGAAAACTCATTTAGTCACTTGATAGCTGGATAACTTGGATGAACTTCTTAACTTCTCTGAGCCTGGGTTTCCAGAAAGATGATGATGCTAAAACTTACTTTGCAGGGTGTCAGTGGAGATTAGAAGAGATACTTGTGGTAAAATGCCCTGCGTTGTGCTCTGGAATATGTAGGTACTCAAGAAAATGGAAGCTTCCCTCCTTAGTTTAATGTTACAAAGGAGACATCAATGCACTATGAAATTTCTTTGTTAAAATTAATATAAAAGCAACACAGAGTTAATACATTTCTGCCTGCTGGGAACTTCATCAAAGAACAACAACAAAGAGCTAGTTATAAAAAAAAAAACAGATGTGTCAAACACGACATCAAAATAATTTAAGAATGTGATTAACTTTCGTATTTATTCAGTGGAATTTTAAAAAGAATAATACATCAAAAGGTAAATCGTAATAAGTTAAAAAAATATTTTCAGTGAATCCGCATGGGAACGAAGATGAAGGGATGGAGAACCTGAGTAAGCTGTCATGGCAAACCAGTGAGGGATGTCCAATTTGACACTAATAAATGAGTTACTCCAGAGAAGGAAGCCAGAAATCAGATAGCAACAGTGAAAGGCAGAGAACACAAGATAAAATGAAAGATCACAACAATAAAAGTGAGTAAAATAAACTGCAGTAGAGAGCAAAGACAAATGAATACAATGCAATAAATTTTGATAGATAGTCCTTGATGCCCAAGAAACAAAAGTGTTTTGCAAAAGCTGATGAATTAATCATGAAATAAATGTGACACCACTTCAAGGGCAACTTTAGACAGAGTCTGAAGCTGGGTACAGTAGCTCTTATTTGCAGTTTATGAGATAGCCGTTGGAGCAGTTTGAACGACACTGTCCCTGGAATACTTGAGAAAGCCATGTACTGCATTTAGGCCTGAAGACAGAGGCTGCCGCCACAATTTAAAATATAACCTAGGCAGGCATTCAGGCATTTGGTGATAGAAATGCACATTATCTGATCGAGGGAGCTTTGAAAATATTATTACACATTAGGTTATACACAATCAAGCGATCTGCATGTTGGTGGGATGGAGGTCACCCTTTATCCTTCATCCTTAATTAAATCATTTTGAGTGTATAAAGCTACATCTGCTTTCTCCGAATAGCACCTTGTTACTAGTGTCTGCCAAAGATACACTTGAAAATGGAAGATAACTAGGAGAAGAAAAGGGAATATATTTTCTGAGCACGAAACAAAAAATAGAGGTAGCTCATGCTTCTACATATTATGAATGGAATTTCACCTTTGCCGAAATACCCTAGAGCTTTCGGGCCACTGTGAAGTAGTTATTTAGGTTTGTGAAGAATTCATAGTGGCCTCTCAACCCTTTTTAAGCTGGTCTTCTATCTTTCTAATATTGCTGAAGAAGGTTGACCCTACTTTAGTCTTCAAGAAGATTATAATTTTTTTAACGAAAATCTGTACGAAACACCATGAGATGTATTTGGTCCTCATTTTGGGACTCTCTTCATAAAATGACCTTTGGTAAACATCTTTTCCTCATGGGAACACCATATTGCCCATTAAAAGAAGAATTAAATTTATTCAGGAGGAATGTTCTACTTCCTGTAGAAAGGAAGCACACTAAATTATCTGTTACGAAGCCTTTTGAAAAATTCCTTGATGTTATCAAATGTAAAATACAGCTAGATTCAAAAGAAAAAGTGTTTACCTCTCATATTTTTGCTTTTTCCCCCCCAGCAGGATACTGCATAAATTATAAGTATTATAAGAAAATATGAGAGAGTGATTTATGGGGATCGTACATTAGAATGAGGAGAGGTTATACATTTCAAATGAATTAAAAATAAAAAGGGGAAAAAATGAATGCTCCATCCCCAGAACTGGTTTAAATACAATGTAAAATATGCTCTTGATATAATTAAGAAGCAATGAAAATTAAAAAAAAGAAACGAGAGAACAGTAAAGCAGCATAAATGACATCACTGGAGCACATACTATGGGTTGCACATGTCACCAACTTGTTTACGAACATAGATTTATCCGATGTTCTCAGCAGCTCTGTGTCATCCCCATTTCACTCTTCTCGTCCCCGTTTCTCATGGATGAGGATGTCGAAGGAACACAGTAAGAAAGCAAGTGGTGGAAGAGAGGCCTGAACCTGGCCAGGAAATGTCAGGTTCCAGACACTGTGCAATGACATCTGAGAGAAGAGTCAGAAGATCCAGGTTCTAAACCTGCTCTTCCAGCAACTGATTCTAGGACTGAGGATCTGCCCCTGTGTATTTAGTCTTGAAGCTGATGACTTCGAAGTCCTCTAACTGTTGAAATGTTTGTCATCAGTGGTCCAGTATCTATAGGGTTAGCTTGGGGGCAAGGGGCCATGGGGAGAGCCTTCATGTTTACTAATGACTGCTTTGGAGTACTACTTCCTTGCTCCTTTCTTTTTCCTTTTAAAGTCCCCAAAGCTGCTTTGCTGCTCTCTAGGCCAAAGTCTTCCTAAATCAGTAACTTTAATGAGTCGCACTCTCTTTCAGACTCTTTGGTAAGCTGCCGGTAGAAGCTAAAGTGTTTACCTTGATAACTTTACACTGCAGAATCAAATCAATTATACAGCACTTCAACTCTGAAGATAAAAAGTATACCCAGCTATTGCTGGTATATATTAAGGCAGGGAAGAATACCATATTATATATGCTTAGACTATTTTCACAAGTAGTTAAATTTTTTGTTTTTCAAGCGATAATCTGCATTTGTCTAAAAATTAATAAAGTTGCTTATTGCCATTGATAAGTAATATAATTAAATTTTAAACAGTAATTTTGATATAATCATAGTACATTAATACTAAACACTCTATATGAATTATCTCAATTAATTAATTGCTTAAACAAATGGAAACCTAATAAGGCAACATGATCATCGATGATCTCCAGAAGAAAAGCCAGTATCTGCCAAGTATATCCCTAATATCTTGATAATATTTCTCAATAAAACATCATAGAGCATAATCCCATTTTATAAATATATGATGGTGTATAGGTGTGTCAGTACTTAGAAAACTCAACTACACTGGATTTCAATAGAATAACAATGGTTACTTATGGATGATATGGTTATAAGGAAAATGTCTTCCTTTAGAAAAATCTATACTCTAAATTTCCTATAATAAATGTAAGTTTTTCTAATCATAGGTAGATAGACAGATAGATGTATTTTTTAAAATGAATGGACTTATTATGAAAGACACGCAAGCACGGAAGTGTCTTCACCCAGCTGGATCTCACCTCCCATGAGTGTTTAGTTATAAACAGTGTCTAAACGGTGTCTAATGAACTGATACCCCCTGAAATTCTTAAAACCGAAGATGAAGGAATGCAGTTCTTTGTTATTGACTATTCTATTAATTTTCTCCATTTATAGTCAAACTTAGCCCAACCCAAACCCAGAAAATTTGGGCAGCAAGAGGAAATCATTATTTCTGCTGAAACTAGCTGACTTGAGTAGCAAGCATTTTATCATTATAAGTAATGCAGTTTTCCCATCATCTAATGACCAGTATTAGTGATGTTGAAAAGCAATGTTCCAAGCAATAAAATGATTAATTCTAGACATTTGCTTAGTTAACTTTTCTATTTTATTCACCTATGGATAATTTTTCTTAAATCCCACATAAATCACACAACTTACTCTCTTGGCTTTGTGCTCACAAGAACTCTTAGAGGTTTTCTGCTGTTTAAGCATGATTTCAGGAAGCAATCCACTTCACTGAAAGGTCTCATAAAAACTAGGTCACCATTAATAGCAAAAATCTTTTTCCCAACTTCCATGCCAGCCATCTAAAAGAGATATAACAAAAAAAAATTTTTTAAGTCAAATTAAATTTTAATAAGAAACTATTTTTCACAGAATTAGAATCTGAAAAAGTCTAGAACTTATAGGGTTTGACATTTTAACACATTTGCACTGTTTTTATACAAGTTCACAAAACGGAATCATGGGCGAGAAAATACAGTTGTTCTTTTTGACCCAGTTTTAAACTTGATCACCTACCTTCATTGAACTTCTCCTTCCCCCATGACTAACTATTGTACTCTTCCTGTGACTCTTCTGTGGTATTTTATAGTTCCTTTTCTTATTTCATTCTTTTAATTATAGTCAAACCCCAGGTTAATCTTTTTGACAGTGTTTTCCATCTATATGCAATTAACTCAGAGTTTCAATTTCAGTGTAGACATCAATGACAATCACAAATGCAAGGCTAGCCTAACAAAGCACAAGTGACTCCTGGGCAGGAGAGAGGAATGACTCGGAATCCAAAGAAGAGAGTTCCAACAAACATAGACTGCAAGATGCTGAAAAGTTGACAAAGAAGAAATTACCTCTCCATGCCAACCAGGCCTCTCTCTTAACCAAGCCTATTGCCTATAAACTGTATGCTGTTTTGGTTACCAGATAAATGATGAAGATCTAGGAGAAAGCACTTTATCAATGGCATAGTCAAATAAAGCTATACTCTAAGAATGTCTTCTGAAAATGTCCGGGAGAAACATTTCCTTCTCACAGAATACTATTAAAAATAGTCATTTGTTGGCTGGGCCCACTAATAGAGTATGAGTTGGCCAGAGTCATTTTGCTCAACATTAATGTACTATACATAAAGCTTTGTCTGACATGAGTTTGTGTTTGATAAAAGGCGGAAACCTTGGGCATTAGCAGATGGGAGGATGGGTGACAGTTTACTACTAACTGTAAATAGATTTAAAGTTAAAAGCCATGCCTCATTGATTCTCCCATTCTTTGTTAAAGATTCAACTATTGAGAAGTTTGCTGGAAAAATAAGCATCTTATAAACCAGGCAGCAAGGTGAGAATACTTGAAATCTGATAAACTTAGGACGTAACCCTGGAAAGTAGGTTCCATTGGAGCAAGAAATTTTGTCTGTTTTGTTCATTGCTATATTCCCAGAGTCTAGAACACTGACTAGCATAAAGTAGGTACTAAATAAATATTTCTGAATGAATGAATGATCAGGAAATGTCTTTGTTTAAAAAGCTGGTGAGGTGAGAGAATATGAATTAGCATTAACCCAACGGGAAAATAAGTCAAAGCATGTGCTTCTGATGGAATCTGTATTTATGCGACAGTCAAAAGTGATAGCAAAATAAGACACGGCCCTTGAATTAAGGGAAGAATGCTCTGACATACATAATACAATCCCACCCTATGCAGTCTCCACAGGGTTTCAGGTTAGAACCGGGAAGTTCCCAGGGGCACAAAATGAACCATCCGGCCTCCCAGGAGGTCAAGAAGTTCACTGCTGTAAATATCTCCAACCCCTCCCCTCCCCCTCCCACACCTGAGTGCACAGACATGGGCTCCTCTGTCACAAGTCCCAAGAATATTTGTAAAACCTCAGAATAAGATTATTCAGAAAATTATTTTCAGGAAAGCTACTTAAAGGCTGATTTCAATTTGTTTAGAACTTTTATATTTATATGGCACGGGCAACAAATTTAAATAAAAATGCTCATTTACATTACCTCAGCATTAGACCCCTTTTCTACCAACTTAATTATTGGAACTTTATTTTTGTCTTCTAACCCAAAACCATAGCTGCCTTCATTGGATTTAATCTGAAATGCAAAATATTAACATTATTAATAAAGCAAGTAGAAAGGTTGCAAATCAAACAGAATGAAATAATATGCATTACTATCAAACATATCTATGTAATCTCCTGTTAATATCTAGTCAAGGAAAAGACATAAAACATATTAATAAACTTACCAATAATGATTTAGCTATAACATTTTCCACAACTTTTAAATCATGTTTCATAAGTCGATGTTTCATATTGGATCCCTCCATTTCTTCATCCGCAAAAAAACGAAAAAGTAGGGGTTCATCTTTGAATTCACTTTTTTCCAGGACTATGGAAACAGAGAAATGCAAATTATTTCATTTATTACAAAAATCAAAGTCTTTGTTCATACTAATAGACATTCAGTAAAATAATAACTGTATCATGACCTCAATTTTATGCTCTTAGAACAAGTTACATTTACAAATATCCCTATGACATTTTCTTATTTTTGTCTATGCTATCAAGCCAATGTTTCCTTTGAATTACTGTTACCCCAACCTTTTTGGCACCGGGGAACCGGTGCTCCTATGAGAATCTACTGCCTGATGACCTGAGGGGGAGCTGAGGCAGTGATGCTAGCGCTGGGGAGTGGCTGCAAATACAGATAAAGCTTCGTTCACTTGCCCACTGCTCACCTCCTACTGTGCAGCCCGGTTCCTAACCAACCACAGACTGGTACCAGTCTGTGGCCCCAGGGGTTGGGGACTTCTGACCTAAGGGATTTAAAATTTTTAATGTCATTTTTCATTGTTAACTTTTTTATATTTAACCAAGTCCTTCATTTTCCAAATTAAGACCTAAATTTAAATAAAAGATCACATTGAATCGAAAAATGTATACAATCTAAAACATAGAAACCCACAGGGCTTTATATATGTAGTAAACATTTTAAGTATGTTTTTAATATCCTGCACAATCATGGGAAAATTCAAAGGGGTTAACTGCTGTCTGCATGTGTGTGAGCAATTCCCATTGTGGTCGCTTTGTTCTAACACTTGAAACCAGAAATATGTCTTCTGGGCGAAATGTGATTTTAGTTCCCAGTAATTCCGAGTTCTTTTCTGTTTAAAGGCATTATTCTCAAAAAACCTTACTTCTGCAAAGGTCAGTTTTTTCCCCTTCATCTGAACATTAATATTTCCCCCCAAATCCCTAAGATTCCCGACATGTCCTAATGATACAAGGTTTATGTTTTATAAGCCTTTTTTAAAATAAGGCTTAATACTGATAGAAATAATTTGTGTTCCGTGGGATCCTGACAGCAGTCGAAATATGTTCAAAGAGAAATCTTCTCTATTTTGATTTATCTTCCCTTAATTCCTTGAAGAATGTTTGTTGGGACAGGTCGATTCACTGAGCCAGAGAGCTCGATGGAAGGCAGTGTTCTCACGGCACAGTACAAAATTAAAGCTTTATGATGGGAGAGACCTGCATTTAAATTCCAGGTCTGGGGGGAAAGTTACTTAAACTCTTCGAACTTCAGTTTCCTCCTCTGTGAAATGAGGGTCATAAAACCTTCTTCATAATGTTGTACAAAATCAAAATGAGGTAATAAATGTGAATAACTTGACACACAGTAAGCAATCAAAAATGACTTATTAACACAAGTCATCGCTGACAATAGAAACGAGAATATATTTGAGATGGAGTTAGGTCTTATCTGCGTGACCTAAGCAGTTTCCCAAAAACCCCCATGATGTTTGCTGTTTTCCTCCACAAAACAGCCTGTCTATCAGGAGTGAGAAAGGACGACGAGGCTGGCATGAGTTGTGATTTACTGACAGAGACTTTTGCAAGGAAAACTTTTGTCGAAACTCAGTATTTTAGAATAAATATTGGAATCAAATTACTACTTATCTATTACTGCTTATTTTCAGCTTGATGTTTTAATTCCCTATAATGGTATCATTTCTTCCATTCGATAGTTTGCTGTTCAAGGACTGATATTTCTCTATCACGACTGATACAGGAAACGAAGTCATCAAACAAGAAAAAATAAATAAATCTTCAATAAGCAGCCAAAAAGACACAGATTTTTTTTAGAGATCTATAATGTTGTTTTCTAAGGTAATTTTGAAAGTATTTTTATAAAAATAAAAATAAATATTTAACTGTATATGCTCTTATTTAATCACTTTAATATATAATTGCATTAAAAAAAAACTATGAGTCTGATATGAAATGGTTTCAAAGAGGTACATAACCTATTTTTTTAAAAAACTTCTCAGCACAATCCCTTGCTCTTTGGGAATCAGTAACAGTCTTGAAAAATAGGAGGAAGTCACAGCAACTGGTAGATAATAGCAATTAGACGTAGGATGGCACAAGCCATGAAACTGAATGCAGACGTGGTGACCCAACGTGGACACATGGCAAGACCTGGACAGTCTTGCTGGTTTGTCTCTATATGGCTCCACTGAAACACGGTGCCCTACATCTTGTGCCCTAACAAAAACAAAGCAGTGAAGTACATCTGTAAGCTTCCAGAATAAGAGTCCTACCATGATGCATAAATCCATTGTCACAGAGTCCGACGCCAAATATCATTGCCTCTTCTCTGGTGCGGCAATCCCCCTGTTAACCGAAAGAGCACCACACAAGTTACTAGGCAGCCGGAGGCATGCGCCTTTAACACATTTGACATTCCAGCACTAACTGACAAAGCCATTCATATATCATGGCATACATTGCTTTCATAAACCCACAGCTTATCTAATTCTTCTAAAACATTTACTTGATAATGAAAATATTTTCTTTTGACATTAAACAAAAAACAAAGATTTAATGTCTCTTGAGAAAATCCTTACTTTATTAAACATGAAAATACCTAAGTAACTAAAATTTATTGCTACCATAAACGATCCTTTTCTCTTATTCCTTCAATCTTATACTGCAATAATGGGTCAAGGAAATACCCCACATAAGAAAACACAGTAAATAAAGCCACGTAAATATCATTATGCATGATCTCTGCTATCACTTTTCTTCCTCCAAATGGTCTTGCTCTGTAAGAGGCCTAAAGAAACTTACTAATCTAAAGCGACTGATAAGATACCAACAGTAAATTGTTCAACTGAGCCAGCAGATGCTTGCTTCTCTTTCGCTATCCTGCCAAAAAAATAATCAGATCATAGAACTGAATCTAAAAAGGAAGCCCAATGCCACCTCTGTTATGATTTTAACCTAGAAAACGCTCATTTTATTCATATAAGTATGGATTCATATATATATGTATGTGTACATGTGCGTGTGTGTATGTATGTATGTGACCTGACGATTGCATGTTTTATAGTTGAAGAAGCGCTTTCTCACATATTATCTATTTGTTCCCAGTTCTATCTCTGAGTACTTAGGTATCCTACCAAATCTGTCCTCACCTCTCTCTGCCTTCGGTTATATTTCATGTCAACACCCTTATCTAGTGTTTCTTCATCTCGCTTCTAAATTATAATAATTTTTTGTACTTTATCCAACATATGCTATTATAGAATTAAACTTTCTTATACAGGAATTTCACGTTCCAAAACTTTTTAAAACTTTTGTTGTTGTTGTTTTTATAATCATAACATATCAAAATTTTCCGTTGGGCTTTCAAGGCCCGACCCTTGTTGGCTTCATTCACTCCACCTCTTCAGCTTCACTTTATAAATATCCACAACTTCTGCTCCAGTCAAGTTGTTCTCCTGTTGTTGCCTGAAGTCTGCGCTTATCTTCATCCTTGCTTTCACTCATGTAATCGTCCATACCCACAATGCCCTTCTCCTTGCCCTCCACCCATTTAAATTCTCCTTATCTGTCTATCAAGGATCAGGACGAGCTCTGCCTTGTGCCCGTCACAATTCCAACCCTCGCTAATCTTCCTGTCAACGAGGAAAGCACTTCTAATCTGTATCTTTGGACAATGCATCTCTGCCCTTTTCAAAATCTAACTGTTAAGTAACTTTTATACATTCATTCAAAAGATATTTATATGTTATTTTGCCACATAACATGCCAAAGCGCTAGAGATAATATAGTAAAACATGCAAACACAAAACACTTTCCTGCCCTCGAGTAATTCGAATCTAATGAAGGATTTGGTCACTTAAAATGTGGTATATAATAAGTACCATTATTCAATTCAGTCAGTATTCCCAATCAGACATTATACTAGGAGCTAGAAAAAGGTTTAAAAAGTCCATGCTCTAAGAAACATGCATGCTAGGACAGTGACAATATAATACGGTTTTTGCTAAGACATATATACCCAGGGAAATGGGACCACAGAAGACTCGAAGCCCAGACTGGAGGATGGAGCAAAGCTTCTTAGGGGAGAGGATGGTGGAGCAAAACCTTAGATAATATGGAAAAATTAGCCCGATTGACTAACAGTCCCTTGTAGGCAGGAACCATGCCTAACTTCCTGTTTTCTTGGTTTGCTTTATTTTAACCATCAAAGCACTTGCTTAAAAGCTAAACTTACAATGAGAGTTTGTTTAATAATCATGAACATTTAATTGATTATCCAATTGATATGCTGGTCAGACTATTATTTTATTGAACATACGGTATAAAAAATACAGCCTAAAGTGTGTGCTATCCACGTGCCTTTTAAAAACCCTACTTGCGCCACATAGAACTGGTGAGAATTAAAAGAGAGCACAACAGAAATGGCTTTGGTTGTGAGGAAAGAAGGCATTACTTAACTATGAATGTGGCATAAACAAATCACAACTTATGTGATTTAAATGATGTTCTAAAAATACATTAATGCACCTGCTACATAAGGAGTCGACTTCATGGAATAAGTTAGTTATACCCCATTGTACTAGAAGCGGGACAACGGCGAGTGAAAAATGTGTTCAGAAGTCAAGTCATCACGCTTTCCACGACGATATCACATAAGACACTGCTGAATAACAGAGAAACTGTCAGATCCAGAATATACCCCAAACCATAGAAAGACTGTCTTATGGGAGGCAGTTCTTTATTCTGTCCTCTAAAGCTGTCCAAATCAATTCAGTTTCCTGGTCATTACTGGCAATTAAGCTATATTATCACTCGAGAGTCATGGAGGAAACAGACCCTTACTTGTCAGATTAAGAACTTTAATTTATCATTCTCTTATCATTCTATTACTATGTTTGTGTCCAAGTCAGCCCATGTTTTCCTAATCTGAAGCTAAGCAATAAGAGTTAATTATGTCTGATACTTACATTTGTGTAAATTTTACAGTATCAGAATCATAAAGCTTAAGTGACAGAGAAGAGATGACATGTACAGCTATTAGAGTAAGAAGTAAATGGTCGTGAAAATAACATCTAAAAAGATTAAGCGCCTCGTCCAAGTTTGCGGAACTCCTTATTGACAGAGCTGTCATCAGACACCAGGTTCCTCGAGTCTCAGTCCATTGCAATTTATACTATGTACAATTTTTATAGATATTGTCATAACAGACCACTAAGAAAACCTGAAGAAAAAAACATCAGTAACTTAGTTCAGTTTTCTGAACAATTTATTCTTTTCTTCTAATGGTCAAGGTTGGAAAGAAAAATGCAAAAAGGAAAAAAAAAAACAGTTGATAACTGACTTCCTGAATCAGAACTTTAAATATATATTCAGCACCAGCTTTTACTTCAAAAAATTTTTCTTCAGTTTTCTCACATAACCAACATATAGTCCAAGTTCATTTGAATTCTATAACATTAGCGTTCCTATGTGAAATTTCAACTCTGATACCAAGCACAGAATCAGTTCCAGTGACACACTTTGACCACCGTACTACAACAGGTTTTGATACCAGTAAACCCACTGGGAGTGTGATTAGGGTTTTATCTAGAAGTAACTGCAGATTTAATCTAAAATCTTAACTTTTAAATAGAATAAATTTAAGTGCTATAAAATACAAAAACAGGTGGTCTTGGATAGTTTAGAAATATTAAATAATAAAAATCTCAAAATATATGTGTACAGATGAGCCATATGTGAATCAAACATAATTTGAAAAAAAATAAATATTTTTATGATTAAGTATCAAATGTTATCAGGTACTTGTAACAGGAAGTAGGCCACTTTCATTAACAATGAAAAAGTAAAACTGTTTATGAAATTGACTCAAATACCCAAACGAAATGACAATATTTCAACCTAGCAATATCCCCACCCTCAAAATAGTAAGTTCTGTCAAAGTGGATATTAGTTTTCTTAGCCTTTTCTTTAATCAGAGGAAAACATTTGATCATCTATTAGTTGACTAGTACAGTAAAACATTTAAATAAATTTATATTTGTATTGGCTCGGTGCCTAGATTAGCAAATACCATTTTCTCGATACATCTATCAGCTCCCACATTCGAAGAAGCAGAATAATAATGACAACAAATTTTGTACCTTCCTATTTATTTATTTATTTTTAATTTATATATTTATTAATGTATCTTCCTATTTAAAATGTATACAAATGGTTATTACCGTTCATATTACCAAAGCACAATTATTATCTAACAGAAAAAGGCACAGAAAGATTAGAATAATTTGCTAGGATTAATAAATAGATACTTTAAAACAAATTAGTGAATAAAACATGCAAAAAATTTAGTATATGCCCACTGCTACTCTTCAGTGATATTCAAATTACGCTTCATTTTTTGATCTAAGTATCTCAGTTGATACTTTTAAAATAGAAATAATCTCTTCCTGAAAGACAACATAGTATAAAAATCAAGCCTGAAGACTCCAAAGTCAGATAGATTTTCTAGGTTCAAAGCCTAACTTTGCTTCTTAGTCTGTAGGAATTGGTCAGGTTATTTCACTGTACCTCATCTGCAAGCAGAAATTAATAATAATAATAAGAAGAAGACCTAAATCACATGCTTTAAGTTAAAACCACAAAGAATGCAACTCAGCAACTTCTATTTGTCTATTTACCTGTGCAATTAGCCAGTCTATCAGTTTGTTGGCCATGACTACAGATTTGTAGGTCCTTAAATGGTAATCTTTATCTCTATAAAGAAAAAAGAAAACATAAATGTTAAGGAAGGAGATAAGTGAGCACAGGGAAACATTTCATTTAGTCTTAGTGTGAAACAGGAAGTCTATTCAATATAATCTGAATCGACTGTCCACATTATGTGTAAATAAGAGACGGTTACAAGGTCTGTAAAACACCTGAAAACTCCATCAGCTCACAGCAGAAAGGCCCACAATGATACCAAAACAGACGTTTCTTCTTTCACATGTTCTTATATCCAGAAGGTCATTACTGCCATATTACTTGGTAATAACTTAGCAAGAAATATGGTTTTCATTAATAAAAAAAAAATATATAGATATTTTTATTTTTTCCCTTTAAATACAGATAGGATTCCACAAAAAATCTCCTCAAAATGTGGAGAACAAAGCAATTCTTTTAATTTTCACTTTTGAATTCTCCAGGAAGGTTGGATTTGGCCTGCAGGATGATTGGCTTGGCTGGGCTGTAGGGGAAGGCTGTACGCCTGTCCCGAAGGAAATACACTGAGAACCATGTCATTCATTTTGTCACAATGACACCACATCCCCAGGGAATAAAGGTAATCAACTGGTCCCATATCAGACTCTCCTTTCAATAGACTTTTCAGATCGGAGAAATCATTCAAAGTTTAGTTAGATACCAACAAAGTGCCCATGATCAGGACGAGGTTGTAAAGGCAAAAATCTATCATTCATTTAGTTTGCCGGCCTGGATCATAAGGGAATGAGAAAATGACAGTCTTTTCAAAATCCACATTATAAACAACTTGAAGTGATAATTACTAGCTATATTCACAGTTCTCTAGCCTCTGTCAGTAATTTACAATTAATTTTCACATCATTTTATCCACTTGCATAAAAAGCTCCCTGAAAGGAAATTTCTGAGATTTCAATAACAAATGCACTAGGTTAGCCAATAATCGACAGCAAATTTTTAAAATCTTTTTAAATCTATCTGCCTGTTTCTGACACCTCATCATCCATTTCATCTTGATTCCCATAAACATTACTAGGAAGAAAAAGAGAATCTATTCTCTATCATATGTGGGTCTGTGCATTCTCGCCCAAGTAATTTTTCTTTTCATAAGCTGAGTTCACACATATTAAAAGCATGATTATCACACATTCCACCTGTTTCATGGGTTTTTTTCGCCATAAATTTTCCCTTGACGACTCATAAGCGATCGTCATTTCTAGCCAAAGAACAATTCCCTTTCATCAGCTCTTACAGAATATAACTTTCTTGATAAGAAATCCCATCTGGCTAACATATTTGGAGACCACATTTTCTCACATATAAACTCTACATACACACAGGTGATGTGAAAAAATTTAACCATTTTTGCTTTCTAGTAGTTTAGCAGGAAAGAATATGTTAAATACCACTTGCTATTGATTTAAGGAAACATCTTTTATTATTAAGTTATCCAAAATATTGGCAGGGTGTCTGTGCCAGAGAACCAACAAATATAGGTTCTTTTTGCCTCTTTTTACTTTGCGAAGCCTGCTTGTGAAAGTGGATAGGGCACGTTCAGGAGTAAAGGGTAAGATTCTGTTTTCCCCTCCAGGACCTGTAGTGCGTTCTCTGGTGGGCGTTCCAACATATTTAAACAACAACTTCTGAAATATTTTTTTTCCTAAGCTCTGCATTTCCTTGGAATTGGAAATCAGACTGAAAAATAGAAAAGCTGTACATCAAACATTTGGATTCTATAGCCACAGCTGAAAAGCCTGTTTATTCATTTTGAAAACAGTACATCCATTTTTTTGTTGTTCTGAAAAATACATTTTAGTCAATAAACTTCTAATGATATCTGGCCATTTGAAATTAGTTTACCATTACATTACATTCTATCAGTTAGTGTACCTCAGTGTATATTACAAAGTACAATAACACTCCTGGTAATCTCCTCCACTGGTAATCAGAATGCAAAACTCGGTTTTCCGCTGTCTTGCTAAAGAGATAAACTGAAAATTAAGCCTGATTCCTCTTCAAAATAAAAGGCATATCTCTTCAGAAGGAAAAACATGATAGAGAAAAAAATGATTACACTTATTGACTCCAAAATGATTCTTAATTTTCAAGTACAAAAATCTTTTCTTTGCATAAAAGACCATTAGAAGGATATATTGTGAAATAAAATACACATCCAAGATTTTGTTATATGATTTAATTTAAAAATTAATATATCAGTAATCATAATGGTAAATATTTGTAGTAAACAATATCTCCAAATCCTTTCCTCGTCGACTATTATTTATTAAATATTAACTGAATGTGGATCATTTCATTAGCAAATCTATAATTTGCTGTGAATTAATGGCAAATAATTTTAGAAATCAGAATAAAAAGAGTGGAAAAAAACTGTATAATTACAGCCTCAGAAAATTTAGGAATATTTTAAGATAAATTATTTCTTAATCTTAAAGTAAATTTTAAAGTAAATCTTAAAGTAACCTTAAAAAGTAAATTTCAGATCTTGAACAAAAAATAAACCAACAAGTTCCCGCTGGATAATATTACCTAAGATGCAATATAAATATTTCCATTTAAGTTGCAGCACTTAGAAACCAAACTCACCTGATCACTGGAGTAAACAGACTATGAAGACGGCAATATAATCTTACACCCTATTATAAAATAAAGACATGTCAAAAGTAAGGACGATCACTCAAAGGAAAGGACACATCAACAAAATTCTGAAATGAATATATTCACTGTTGACATTCAGGAATCATTACTTGATCTCAACCAATTTAAAAGTTATTCAAATGTTACTACAACATAAAGATGATATGACTTAAATCATTAAAAACAGGATTAAATTGTGCTATGAATTTGTCATACACATATGACATTTACATATACAAAGAAATTTTTAAATTACTTTTCTTGAAATATAAAATATCAAGATATAATGCAAACAGAAAACAAATCTATGCAGTAATACATCATACTACTGGTTTATTTATGGCAGTCATAATTTTGTCGTGTACAAATAAACACATTACATTAATTTTATATATTTATATTTTTTAAGTTTGTTCACATGTCATGACCACTTGTTCCTACATTTGAAAACATTTTCAAAGAATATACCCTTCTGAGTGACACAATTGCATTACTTTCATTCAGAACTAGATAAAAGAATGAAAAGAAAAAAGTGATCTAACATTAGAATTCTTGGAACGGCAAAAAGAAAATGAAAGACTTGCTTACACTGGAAGAATTTTTAAGTCTCTCAACACCGTGTATCTTGCTAAAGTAGGACAACATGAATTCTGCTATTGATAAAAGGTTGTAGGAAAAGCTATTACCTTTGAAATGACATCCTGCATTTCATTTCTTGGATAAAATGTCCCATCGTCATAGCGAAATCTATATAACATCTGTTCTGGTTTGAACTGATGTTTATCAGTAACTAAGAACATAGGAACGATACATTAAAATACTGACAATCTAAAAAACGGCAGACAAAAAAGAATATGTTTATGAAATACGTATTCCCAAATACTAAAACTTGTAGTTTTACCTAAAACTTTTGTTTTCCTAATACAGAAATCCTAGTCGAGTATTTGGACAGTAAGATTCATAATAAGAAATTTTTAATAGAATTCATTTACAATTTCCATATAATGACTTAAGAACTAAACTGAGGTTAGCAATATTCAGCTAGCATATTACATGTAACGGTGTATTGGGTATTTATTTTTACATAAATATGAGTTTGTGTTTTCTATTTCTTTACAATGCCAAAAAGTCAAGCAAAAAGTATCCTTCGAAGAGCAGATATTCCAATTAGTAAGTTATGATTTAAGTCTCAGCCCAGGAAATGAATTTTAACATTTATCTGTTTTATCTCACTGTAATTAGGCCAAGACCACACATAAACAAATCTTGAGCATTCATCCTGTGTTTAGATCTCCGGAGTGGATTACATAATTTCAATATCTAACTGATTCCAAAATTTAACAGTTTTCTTACACTCAGAAATACTTTCTTACATGTCACTTAATTTTTTCCTTTCCTCAGTAGAAAATAAGAGTGATCATCCTTCACTTGCATCCTTAGGATCAGATTTTCATACTCATAAAGACTCCTATAAACTTCCCCTAACTTTTCTTTTTTCCAGGAGACGTCACTTTAAAGACAGTCTAATTTAAAAAATAAAAAATAAAAAAAAATGACTGTGCTAGAAAGGAAAAATCTCAAATAAAAGCTCAAAGAGTTTACATTTAAGTCTCAGGTTTTCTTTACAGGGAATGCAATATCTGCAGTAGGGATAATTTGCTGCATTGAGCTCCATTTTCATGATCAGATCGAAGACTTTTACCTTTACTTTTTGCTAAAAATTTTGAAGAGGGAGAAAAAGCTGTCAGAATAAAATCTCATGAATTATGTTTGGTGAATCCAGAAAAAAAGCCAAAAGACTTGTAAAACACACACAAACACGTGAAGTTTCAACTATTTTACCCCAACCCATCCAAACCACGTGCATGGCTTATAGCCATCAAATTGAGACAGGATTGCTGCCAAAAAGTAAACAAAACAAAAAGATAGACAGCACAGCCTTTTGGCATCCTTTTTCCAGATTAAGCCAAAAAAAAAAAAAAAAGCACGTGTGAAAAAAAAAATCGAGAGAAATATTTTGAAATCCTATGGCATTTTTCAAGACCAGTTATTTATTTATCCTATGCAATCTACCTATTCCCATTTTTATCCCTTAAGATACACCGAAATACATTATCATCTTGACATTCCAAAATTCAGGGAAACATTGGGCCCAAATGTCTCTTGAGATAATAAAACAAGTGGCAGTATAACCTATTCAAAATGGAGTGCTTAGCCGTAAGGCAAACTCCTGTGACTTTGATAACTAACATTGGTTAAATCTGCATCTCTTAAGCTGCTGCCTTGGAAAAAAAAACAGTGAAAAGAGTTCTACTTGGAATCTACTCACTCAACGGCTCGAACATGGAAAATGGGTTTATTAACTGATGAGAATTCAGTTCTTCTTGTGAGAAAGGTTGTATGATGCCATTTTTAAACGACTATGTAATGTTACCAGGGATGTACTGCGAAATGTTTAACAACTGGCTACGTAGGTGGTGGGAGAGAAGGAACTAATTCGTTGCATCTGCCAAATTTCTGTGGTATAAATACTCTCATCCTGGCCAATTTCAAGCTACTATAATAAAAGCACTGAACACGGGAGTGAGGTGAACATATTTTTAGTTTTTTCATCATATAGAAATAATAGATATAAATAACACCAAGAACATGGCTAATAATAAAATGTAGTAAAATAATTAGAAAGTGATGAGTTTTAAGAATTTATTAGCTTTATTTATAATTTATATACTTACATGTTTATGTCACTAAAACTTTTAATAATGTGCTTAACCAGCTTGCAAATTTAAAAAAAAATTAATTACCAGCTCTCTTGAGTTTTTAAGGAGCCAACTTTATCACACCTCTCTCTCTCTCTCTCTCTCTGTCTCTACGTTCTCACGTAGGCATTTATAATGTAAATAGTAGTGCCAGACAAGTAGAACATTATCAGCATATCACAGAAAACGCATATGCTGCTTCAACTTAAGAATTCCTAGTGTAGCAAGGCTCTGCCTCTGCTGAAGTTCTCAGCAGTATTTTCAATGTGAATAATAGCAAAAATAGTCAACCTTTTTTTTTTTTTTTTTTGCTTTTTTCCCTTAAAACAGATGGTCCATTCAACTTTATTTTAGGAATCCTATTTTCACTGAAATGCAGCTGGAACCCCATACTAATGAAACTAGCATGTTTGGCTCATAGTTCTTCATTCTAATAAAGTTATTAATGTGAAATTGCATAATAGTTCTCTTACCCACAGTTTGGGAAAATCTGTTAATTCTGTACACTTAAAAGAAAAAAAAAAGATTATTCTAGCAACAAAAATCCTTTGTGCCAAATCTGACCAAACCCTGAGAACAGTAATAGCACAGGCCACGAAAATCAAACTCCTAAGAACAGAACAATATTGATAGAGAGTACCTGGTGCTACATTTCTCAGAAAAAGTGTTAATTGGGTTATAAACGTCACTGTTCAAAAGATTTAAATTTTCCTAAGTTAAATAATCAAAGGGTTCTTGCATCTGAAACTTCAAAATAAGTCTTAATCCAGAATTTATCTACCACTTCCTTTTCAAAATTGTGTTGGTGGAGAAAATGGTTGGTTATGAGGGAGGGGAGATTAGCTGGTTAGGAGTGAAATTGTTCCATTCTGAGATCCCTTCCAGGCAAACTAATCTTATGCTGTTGGTGTATATTTTTGTCTTTTTAGAGGAAGAGAAAGGAATTCTAAGAGATTCCTATCTGGACAGATAGTGGTCCGTTACACCAGCGGCACTCTGGGATGGGGAAAATTGGGAGGATCTAGTTTGTTTTCGCCACACTCTAATTTAGAAAAAAACAAATATCAAAATTCCAGAACCAGAAATTCATTTTTATTCACCATTTCCTGTCTTTTTCTCCTCTCCCACTCTGTGCATTAGACATTCTTGCCTCATTGTCATTGCTTTCTGGCTTTTTGTTTGTTATTTCTTATCATGCTCTGAGGAATGTGACAACTCTCTTGAAATGGTCCCCACATCTGTCTGTCACTCTCACTGCTCTGAGCTTTACACGCATATTGTCAACCTTTTGCTGGGCGCTGGCAAGGATGTCTCACACCCAATCCACAGCAAATCCTTTATCTTCTCCCCAACCTGCTCCTCCTCCTCAATGAAAACTCTTTTCTGTCATCCAGATAGAAAGCTCAGAATCATCTGACCTTGCTCTTCATCCTTCCTCTCCCAAATCCAAATAGTTATCAAATACACTGTTTCGGCTTTTCCAGAACCCCTTGCATGGGCCACTCTCATCATGCCCATGGACACAGCCCCGGTGACACCCTCACCCTTGCACTCCTGGGGAAGGAATGGGCCTCCCAATGCAGGGAGCTCTCTGCAGAATTCACTTACCCATGCCAGGCCCTACCTTGCTGCATCTGTTAGCTCTAAAGTCAAGTCTGGTCAAGCTCTTCTGCTTAAGAGTGTCCATCAGCTCCTTATCTCCTCGAATAAACCCAACATACCACACCTAGAGAGCTAAAGTCTTCTGGGATCAGGTATTTACCTACCTTTCTCACTCCACCCCTCCCAGTATATTCCTCATGAAGTATATTGTCTTGCCACATGAGAGACTCTGTGCTAGTTCCTGAGGAGGCCACCATGAACTTCCCCCTCCCATGCCCGAGTGCCACATAGTATTCCTCGGGATGGAATGTCCTTCTGTCCTTCTGTCCCTGACAGAGTTCTATTCATTCTGTAACGCCCAATGTTAATCCCAGTGGCCTCATGAAGCGTCCCAAACGCTCCAGTTAGAACTCACCATCTCTTCCTCCACAGCCCCACAACGCTTACTGTATTTCTAATTCTTGCCCATGTTCTATTCATTCATTTTAAAGGTAGCAAATATCACCATAAACCCATATTCCCCGAAGCATGGTTTTACATATATTAGGCACTCAAAAGCGTTGTTGAAAAAACATAAGCATCTTCTAATGTGAAGAATTATTATAAACTAAACAGATCATTTCATTAAAATATATGCAATTTCTGGCTAAATAGATTAAATAAGTAATCCAATAATTACCATGGTGGATGATTCCATTTTCTAATAATGCTTGTCCCAAATGAACACCTTCTTCAGGCCTATGAATCTCGCCAATTTCCAACAACCAGGATACAAATTCACTAAAACAAAAATCCAATGAAGAAGTTAAATAGTTAATTTTCTCCCAGGAAGTCTATCTGTACCATGCATTCATCAAGCAGATAGGAAAGAAATCTCAAAATATAAAGGAACATTTACGATGCATTTTGGCATACATTTTTTCATATGCAAAGCCCAGTTTTTAAATTGAACTCTCTTCTACAAAACCCATGTCCATATACATTCAGACTTACCTAAACTATACTTAATAATTGTCTAACTTGTTGAGACCTCCAACAATCACAAAGAAATTTTACAGTAGCTTTAATTAAAAGGTTATTATCTACATAAAGGCAAATTGGGACTAAAGAAAACAGATCCTAAAGATACCTAATGGACAGAACCAGCTAGAGTAATAAGGACTTAATTTAAGAGATAAGACTCTGGAATGTGGCTTTCCAGGCACAGAGAAGCAGTGGGTGTGAAACTCCAACAGGGAAATAAAAACAAACTGCATGCCCCCTATAGTAGGCAGAATTCTAAAGATGGCTTCCCACTCCCTATAAGGAATCCCATCGCTTGGTTTTTAAATCAAATCCTAATCTAGGTCATGCTATGAATGAATTTTGCATATGTAATTAAAATCCTAAGTCAGTTCACTTTAAAATATGTAAATTATCCCAGCAGGCCTGACCCAGTGAGTCGAGTCCTTTGAAGCAGAGGCTTTTCCCAGTCTGGTGGCACAAAAGGAAGTGAGAAAAACTTAAAGCATGAGAAAGATTCAGTGTGCCACTGCTGCGTTTGAAGACAGAGGGACCACGCAGCAAGGAATGCAGGCATCTTCTAGTTGAGAGCGTGACCTTAGTCAACAGTGAGCAGGTCCTCATTCTTACAAGGACAAAGGACTCAATTCTACGAACAACCTGAATGTGCTTAGAAGTGCATTCTTTCTCAGAGTCTCAAGATAAGAGCCCAGGCCAGCTCAGCCCACACCTGCATTGTGATCTTGGGAGAGCCTCCAAGCACAGAACCCAGCGTTCCTCCAGAACAAGCTCATCAGCGGGTGTTGTTTCAGGCCACTAGGTAGGCAGCAATTCGTTTTGCAGCAATAGAAAATTAACACTCACGAAAAGACAGAAACATTTTACAATGGTTTTTTTTTTCAAATTTTAAAATTACTTGGTAAATTCATTGTTGCATCTAAACTGTCATCCATAGGGAATATTCCAGCACAAAATCAGCCATCAGAGCTGCCGACCACACACATCTGCTGTAGAGGTGAGAGGCCAAAGAGGATTACAGTTTACATCTTTCTCCTTTTCAGGAAGGGGCGGGGTGAGGAGCTCCAGGCATCATAGATAAGAAGGATGATGTTTTGTATCTTTTAGGAGCGTCCCAGCCCAGTGGTATATATTATTTTAAGGTCACGTGAAATCATTAAGAAAAGGCTAAATACAGAGACATTTCACAAGGAAAATTTGATCACCCGTCTGTTATAAAAATCTAGCATTTGACTTTTTATATAAACGAATGAATATATTTTAGAATGGTTTTATTTTTTCCCACAGAGGCCAGAGAAGCAAAGTTATGGAAAGTGTCAGGAAATTACTTTTCCATTTATTTCAAAACCAAAAGCGACACATATGGCGAAAGTCAAATAGCCAAGGAATATGGAATTCTAAATATGGGTGTCTGGTCTAAAAAGTACATTTTAAGGCAGAAGACACTGTTAAAGTGCTTTTTATCCCTCTATTAAATAAGAGCCATGCATGAGGAAAAAAAAAATAAAACAAGTAAGGTGAAATACAGCGTAGCTGTTAAGATCGAGTACTTTGCAAAAAGATAACCTGAATTCAAATCCCGTTTCTGTTTCTAACAGCTGTGTTATATTGGATTAAGAAATTTAGCTCTCTAAACCTCAGTTTTTCCCTTGATAACACAGAAATAATAATAAGCACATCAGCCTCATAGTGCTGTCACAGGATTAAATGAGCCGATAAATGTCAGGAAGCCAGCACGGAGCACGGCACATTGTGAATACTTATTAATGTCAGCAGTTGACAAGAGGGTTGAAATGGTCGGTACGTAGCTAAAGCCCAGTTCTACATTCTGACATCAGCAGATTCCTGAATGTGTCCAACGCAAATGAAGAAAAGGACACGTTTTCAGTACTGCTATACATTAGGAGAATAGTGAGGACAGGAGAAAGGGTAGGAAAGGAAGTTAATGAGTGGCTTTATTGTGGGACCTACTCAACTAACGAAAAGATCCTGGTGACACCCTGCACAAGGACCGTGATGCCATCGGAAATCACCTTGAACTTGGGCTGTACGGAAGAGGGAGAGGCTGTTATGGAAAAAGCCGCCATTAACACAGCCAGTATTTACTGAGTCTCTCCTATGTATCAGGTGCTTTGGGGAATGCTTTGCCTGTCCTTGCAACTTACTAGCCCTACAGCCATAGGAGACATTGTGGGTAAAAGGTTAATAAAACCCTCTGTCCTTCAATAAGAAGTTAACCCAGGGTTAACTTTCTGGCTGTTCAACGAGAAACCTGATGAAGGCAGGGTGTCGGCTCATTAGTAGGCAGCCTTGCTTCTGGTAAAAATGACCCCGATGGCTATATCGCATACTCACAATACCTGGGGAGAAGCCATAATTTGAGGTGACTCTCTTGTAAGTGGACATGTCCCTGTGGGGACCTTGGAAGTTATACCCACGAGGGCGTTACAACAAATAGTGTCTTCTTTGCCACATGTGGCTTTTAAGCCAAGATGGGCTCACATCTGCTCTTTCTTGCACAGAAACCATCACGTGGGGACCACTGACACTAACGATACCAGCTCACGGGCAGCTGTGCGGCCTGCTGTGTGGACCACGTCCACCGGAAGAAGAGATTTCACGCTGCCCTGTAAGCACATGGGCTTCCTGGCCCATGCTCTTCTAATAGGGCTGGGAGCTGGTGTGGCCGTGGTGATTTTGTGTGCCTGCACAGGTAATTAAGAAGACAATCGGGTAGTTACTACAGGTAAGCACTGCAATTATCTTTATTTTTAGACAGGAACGGGAAATTTAACTTTCTGAAATCTCTCAACTAGCCAGTCTGAATGGAGACCACGAGGTCTGGGCTTTGAACTACGAACTAACTACTCCAGTCTACTTTTATTGAGTCGACATCGACATTTACTAGCTGTATGAACTTGACCATGTTAAACTCCATAGTCCCTGCTTTCTGAATCCTTATCAAAGATAAGTATGTATTCTAGGAGAAGTAATGCACAGGAAGAAGGCAGCCCACAGCCCGGCCTATGTACCTGAGGCAGCCACCCTTCCCTTAGGTCCTGCCTGCTCAACCCAGCAGGGACTCCCACGTGCAGCTGTCTGCAGAAACCCAAGGACACAGGCCATTTATGCTAAACACCCAAGCGACTTTCCCCGACCCAGCCCCACCTGTCAGTCTGCGTGTGGCCCCTCACATGACCCACCGTTTCACATTCTTCATCTCTAGCCCTTCATCCTGAGCCCAGGTGTCAAAATTCTGAATTAATTGGTAGCTTAGACAGTGAGTCTTCAGTTCTCTGGTCTTCTCTGACCCTGTACTCATGTCCTTGCCTGACTCTGTCCCCGACAGGCAAACTCGCCTGCCTGCCAGCCTCTGCCTGACCCCAGCCTCTGTTCTGCCCTTGGGACATGATAAATCAGAAATTATGGAAGTCGTAAGGGAATGGACGGATGCTTTAAGTTTTTTGATCATGACTCCTGGCTCTCTGTACATTTCTTCACCCCACTATGGTCCTGGAAATATCGATAGTAAATACATATTCAAAAATCTTTGGGAGAATTTTTTTAAAGAAAAACAAGTAATTAATGGAAAGTTAACATTTGAGATAGTGAAAATATGAAAGAATATATGCCCCCAGACTACCAACCCTACCTTCCAAGAAAGCATTTAGGGAACGTAGTCAGTTTTCTTTTTCTGTCTTTGATCAGATTTCCTTGTTTGCACATCATTTTATAAAGTTTCTCACCCTGTTCAGAGATCATTACCCAGGTATCTTGCTCCATTCCTAATTTTAAACCTATCGAAAATGAAACAAAGGACAGGTAAGTGAAAGAGTCTCCTCATTCAGTCATGCCTTCATTAAAAAAACATTTATTGCATGTCTTCCATGGGCTGGGGGCTATGAATACACAGCTCTGCACAGTAGGGCCCTGGGTTTTCAAGAAGCTCATGGGATACCAGGAAGACAGTCAAAGCAAGATGTCCAGGGCCATATGGCACCTCTGTGCACACTGCCTCAGAGGCACGTGGTTTGGCCAGTGGAGGAAGAGCAGCTATACCTCAGACCCTAGGGACCCCTTTGTAAGGCTAGGTCAGTACAACTGGACGCGGTGGCCCTGTAGACAGCCTTGGAGGAAAAACTGTGACACAATGGAGGCACCTTCAGAGTGTTCAGAAGTGTTGAGAAAGTCTCACAGAAGGGCCCAAGTATAAACAGAATTCCAGAGAGAGAGAGAAAGTATGCACAAGAGCTAAGTGAGGTGCCGCAGCACAGAGACACACAGCCCTGGGTTTCGGGAGAGAGGACCAGAGGTTGGGCAGGGCCCTTGTTCACCTTTAGTTTCCACGACTTCGTTCCTTAGAAATGTGGGGGTAGGGGAGCTGGGTCGGGGGAGGGGGAGGAAGCGTCTAAGTGTTTTAACCAGGAGGAGGGGCAGGCAGGATAGTGCAGGAAAGGAAGTCTTGTAGCTTTGGAGACTAAGCTCGGAGGACAAACTGAAAGGGGGAGGGTTTAAGAAGAAGGAGACCATTAGGAGGGCGCTGTCAAAGTTCAGGCCAGCTCGAGCCTGTGTGGGCAGTAGCGGGGGCCACAGCGCAAAGAGAATGAAGTTGAGAACTACCTAGGAGGTGGTATTGAGAGGACGCAGTGCCAGGTTAATCATAGGTGTGAAGGCAAGAGAAGAGATCAGGATGTTTTCTAGGCCTTTGACATGAGAACTGAATGGGGATTGGGAGTCACAGTGGGCAAAGGGTTTCAGGTAAGGAGGAGCCCGGCACTGAGCAGGTTGACTTTGGACTTTCAGGTTAAATCCAGGGGTCAGTGGAATACATGAGTATGATGTTCAAGAGAAAGAACAGGGCCAAACATAAAGACTGAGAACTTGACAGTTCAAAAGTAGACATTCATCTGGTGGGCATAGAAAACTCAAGTACAAAATCTAGTTTGGAGAACAGTGCCAAAGCTGAAATCCTGGGAACACTGACGCCTAATCAATGAATAGCACTCACGAAGAACTGTTGCAGAAGAAGAAATACTTGAATTTTTTTTGTCTCCTAGCTACAAAATTTCTTACTAAAATGTTATCTCACAATGTAGGAGACAGTAACATTTGTCAGTAATAGTGAACAATCCATTAATAGAGCCTGTTACTACAAACAGATTTATAGAAAGTTCTTTT